TCAGCGCCTTCCAAGTCGCCCAGTTCTCTGTGTGCCCAGTGGGGAGTCTCTCATTTGGTATCAGCCATTGGTTGAGGGTCTCGCTCAACTGCCACCTTTGGACTCTCGCTTGCTGAGGTGTTCCAGCGAGTGTCTCTGTAGATCTTAGAAAACTATCTCTAGATTTAAGTCGTTGACGTGCTGTATAATTATTATAAGATGCTTCAAATCCCTGTTCAGCTATGAAAATCCACTTGGTGACCTTAGGCAAGGTGCACTCGGAACACAAAGCAACCTGCCCCCTTTAAGAAATCTCATCAAGTAATCTTGGGGGGGGGGGGGCTTATGGGTGCAGGGCACTTTTTCAACCAACTGAAGGATTTATCCATGATGTTAAATTATATCCCCCAAGTAGGAATAGGAAGTTAGCTCACTTAATCTTTGGACCAAAACCTAGAGTAGAATTACAGTCCTATTGGCGTTGAAGCAATCATGGCTATGAGTTTGTTGCTATCCAGAAGCCCAAGCTCTAGAATGTTTCTGTATTCTTCCAGCTCAGGCTCTTGGGATAAATCTTGGCTGAGACTAAACTAGGCTAGGAGTGAGAATTGTGATACCTGTGGGGGGCCGTTGAAGTCCTTGAAAATATGAACATTTTTGTATCAGTCCTATTGACATTTTAGGATTTAAAATCTCAATTTAATTTAACTCATGCAGGGGTGTAACATTTCAGCTCCTTATATGGGAGTGGAATTCCCAGAAATATTTATTTGAGAAATGTGTGCACGTGTTTTCAAGATGTCTGTAGATTGAACCCTCATAAACCTTTATAAGCTTTCCTTAGGCAAGGAATGCTCAGCAGCTTCTTATTCTGAAATACAGCCTACAGCACCTCTTGAGTAGACATGCATAGAATTCAACTGTTACACATACTGTATTTAGGAATGTGTTCATTATGTTAGTTATAAGAGGCTTGTGTTTTTATTTTCCTGTTGTGTTACAAAATGCTAAATAAGCAGGGACTTTTATTATAACCTACGTAGGCCAATTTATTCTGAAAACACACGTCAGGTGAATTAGCGTCAAATGTACATGTTTGTCATGTATGTCTGCAGCAATTTCAAAGTCTCGGATCCCCTTCCAGTTCTTCCTTCCCTTTCCAATTGTTGCAGTTGCCTTCAATGTTGTGTTTCCAAACATCTGCCATACCTCTACATACAGAGCTGTTCATTTGTCAAGATACTGGTCAAAGGACATTTAACCAACTACCAAACTCACAAGTTGTGTATTTTTCTGTTTGTTTGCTTTGTTCTGTTAGAAATGTAATATAATGGACTGGTTGCTCTGACACGACAAATAAATTTGTCAAGATAAGTTGCAGCCAATTGGCATCCAATGTCTAAAAAACATTGTTCCCAAAAAACTTCCACATCTTTGTCCAAGTCACATCCCCCCCCCCTTCCCTGTGCATGTTCATGCTGTCCTCTGCAAATTTACTGAAATGGTTCAACAGCTGTAGCAGATGGTGGCATTGGGTCTTTGGCACTATTCTTTTACTCTCAAATTCCAGTATTACATAATCTGTAGTAATCTCTGCATAACTCTGCTCATCTATCTTGTGCAGTTATAGGGCTTAATCTTATTTTTGAGGATAAGATGACAGTGCACAGGAAGTGTCCCGCAGACTCATTGTGTGTATGTCTGTGTTGGGTTCCTGTGATAGTTACATAGATGAGGCTGCTCACCTACTAGATGAGGATACTAGTTCTGCAGTTATCAAATATGAGGTGGCAGACCAGCTGTACAACTTTGACATCTGGCTTTTTCATCATTTATCATTACAGCCTTACAATGTTTAGGGTATAATTTGATTTCATCAAAGTTGTTCAGGAAAGAGTACCTGGTGTTTGTTTCTTTTAATGTTTCTGTAATTTGCTTCCATCTCTTGTTTATTTATACACTCAGCCCTCTGTACTCATGGCTGGAAAATAGTCTTCCTCTAAAAAAATCCTAAAAGCAGATTTTAATTTTGCCATTTTATATGCCGGAGCCCCCGGTGGCGCAGAGGGTTAAATCCCTGAGCCAGCAGGACTGAAGACTGACAGGTCGCAGGTTCGAATCCGGAGAGAAGCGGATGAGTTCCCCTTGTCAGTTCCAGCTCCTCATGCGGGGACATGAGAGAAACCTCCCACAAGGATGATAAAAACATCAAATCATCTGGGCGTCCCCTGGGCAACATCCTTGCAGACGGCCATGAGGTTAGTTGCTCACACCAGAAGCAACTTGCAGTTTCTCAGGTCGCTCCTGACACGACAAAAAAATAAATAAATTATATGCCATTATATATAGAGTCTTGAGTGTCCATGGATTTTGGTATCCATAGCGGATCCTGAAACCAAATCCCAGTGAATACCAACAGTCCACTGTAAACACAAAACAGTTTAAAAGACTCAGACTATCTCAAAGTATAAAACAGTCCAAATACATAATTGTCAGTGACATGTGTCACCCTGTTCTTTAACAAGCCACTCTGCAAGTTCATCTCTAAAGGTAGGCATTCCAACAACACATGCATGCAAAAGATTTGTGAAAGATTACTTCCAAAATTATTTACAATTTGAAACCAGTAATTATATTTTTGCTCTTGTCTGCAATATTTTTACTCTCCCTTGAGATAGCAGTGTATTTTTTAAAAATCAAGCATATTGGTGGTCTCCCTCAACTATATTATCAAAATCATTGCTGCATCAATTGTTGAACCATGGCTAAACTCTTTAAACAATAGCTTACCTCACAAGACTGAGAAAAATAGAATGGAAGAGAATGGATGTGAAGTGATTTCAAGATGTGGAGTGTAAAAGATAAGCCTTAGAGAGCAAATTGCAAGACTTGATTGAGTTCACGGATGTTTAAACAAATGCATAAGGAATTTGTAACCTTTAAGAGAGCACCTGATATCCTTAAATTTTCAATTATCATGAATGGATGTCACTGTATTTACTGCTTCACCCTATTTTCTTTGAATACAAGAAACTATAAAGGGGACAGGGACATAAGCCAGAAGGAATTAGACTCTGAGCAGCACCTGCTCAGCCTAACCTCATGGTTGGCTTTGTGGAGTTGGGGAAGAGCAGCCCCATCCCATGAAGAGCAACACAGTGGATCTCTTTGCCTGCAAGCTCTAGGAAACTCCATCCAAAGGGAAGGAATGCCCTTTGAGTCTCAGCCAAAATGGAAAATGAAATTCTTTCCAGCTCCAGGAAAAATGGGTGTCTCACTCACCCTAGGCTCCCAGCAGCACTTGTTCAGATTCTGGAAACTGGAGGTGTAACTTTAGAACTTGAGGAGTTAGCAGAATCCTGTTTCATCTTCCATGAAACACTATTGGCTCCTCTCCAAGCCAAAATTATTGCCTGCTGAAGCTTTTGGTTTCTCCTCTAGTACAAGTCATGTCATGGGCCTGTCAGTCACCAAGGACACTTAAAAGCAACACGATGGCCTATTTCCAGTGTCAGAAATATGATATGAAATGTAAACCCATTTGTGTATGTAGAAGGGTAATTCACTTTGCAAATGCACTGAACCTTAAAAACCTTGCAACACAATCTTTCTGAGCTGGCACTGGAGACCTATTTTTGTATCAGTAATGGAATCCGTTTTGCCTTTTGTTTGCTAGCAATCCCGCCCCCGCCCCCAAATGTTCTTGCGTATTGGGAGACTTGTCCACACAGAAAATATCTCCCATAACAATGGAACAGATTATCACTGGGGACCAGATATTGGGGTGATTGGAAACAGCAATGCTATATATTTCTAAGCTGCCTTCTGCTTGCATCAAACCCTCGCAGGCCCCGACAGGCTGGAGAATGAACGAAGCTATGTCCTCCTTGCCTGAAAGAAATCAAGGTGTATAGTTCAACTGGCGTTTGGGTACTAATCTATGCTATCATTTAATATAGTGGTTGTTTATTTGTTCAGTCACTTCCGACTCTTCGTGACCTCATGGACCAGCCCACACCAGAGCTCCCTGTTGGCCATTGCCATCCCCAGCTTTTTCAGAGTCAAGCTAGTCACTTCAAGGATACTGTCCATCCATCTTGCCCTTGGTCGGCCCCTCTTCCTTTTTCTTTTCCATGTAATATAGTGGTACTTAATTAATTAGAGGTATAGTTAGTTGTACTAGTTGCAGATGAGGCTACCTTCCACCCCAAAATGACACACATGTTACCTGGGAAGAAGTCTCTCATCCAGACTGACCACAGCAAATCGTGTCTCCTTCCTTTCTCCCAAAACAAGCAGCATCACAGATCCTAGCAATTAACATCCTTTCAGCAGTTACTAATTTTTCTTCCTAATTGGGGTGAGTGCCTGCAAATTCTGGGTACCTCTGAAGGCAACTCATCATCTGGGTCCTGCACTTGGTATTTCTGATAATGCCCTGTTCTAAGAGGAGGATGGGAAAGTTGTCTTATTTTCCTCTTGGACCTCTGTTACCATGAACCATATCACACATCAGGAAAAGAGGCACTGTTTCAGAAATCAATGGGCATTTAATACTCTGTACCATTACATTTTTGCTATGGAATCCCACAGAAGTTCTGTTTTGTCATTATCTTCAAAATATAGTGACGTAGGGGATCTGAAATGCAGTAGCCAAATACTGCTTTATGTCTGTGTCCTCTAATATCCTGAATCTAGGTTTATATAGGTAATAGTGTGTCCACATTATCCCAGCACATGAGCAGAACAATGGAGCTCACAAAAATTTCTTTAAAACTTGATTGTGTGTTCTGCTTCTAAACTTGACAAGACTTGGATATGATGAAGTACATTTAACTTCTCTAAAAAGACATTTCTTCTGTCCATGTCACATAACGTTTAACACTCTATACCTTGGACCTGATTTGCACCTGACATGTGATGTCAGAAAGCTTTAAAAAAATCCAGGCAGTAAATTTTCCCTTCAACAAGAAAGCACACTGTTGGTCTGCGTTACAAAAAGAAAGATTCTCTATCGGTGATTGCATCTACCAAGTACTCCTTTAATTATGCTTCAATGTTTTTCTCTCTACAGTGACAGACTTGTACTAGAATTTCACCAGGACCTCAGTCTCCATGGCACAGTAATTCTAATTATTATGGGAAACAGTACAAAGTTAGTTAAGAAACAGAAGGCATTCTACAGAAAAGAACATGAGGGAGAGCTAGTGGTATTCTAGGGAGGAGCAGCAGATTCAGCATCTGCTCCAGAAAGACGCATAAAAAGCCCTCCAATCTCAGTTACGTCATCGGTGGCAACTGGTACTGTCCTGTTTTCTCGGTCTTCAATAAAATCCCAGAGGCGAACGGAATTGAGGAACTGAAAAGAATGAAAAACACAAGTAACTCTGACAGTGCTTTTCATGTTTTTAGCATTATTCAGCAAGGGGTGATATTTTTGGCTTTTGAGGACTATATGCCAGCTGTGGAGCCACAGCCCCCACCCCATATAAGCACACTTTTTTCTCCTTGGCTGATCCCTGCTAAGAAGTACAGGGATTCCTTTCTATCAAAAGAAACCTCTTTCTTCAGATTGAAACTTTTTCTTGTCCAGCAATTCTGTCCATATACTCCCAAGTAAATGTCTCTGGGAAGTCCATAAACAGGGAGAAGAGGTTGTTTGTCTGTAACTAGTTCTTCAAGTTGTCATATGTGAACTCATACAAACTGAGTAGCTCCTCTGCACAGTACATATTTTGGAATCATCTAAGCTGTTATGTAATTCTTTTGACATCAGCCCCTCTTCCCTGAGTCCATGTCATGGACCCGATTCCCACTTAAAACTCAGTTCCCTAGATGCAGTCCAAGTAAGCTGAAAGACAGAGTCTAGGAAAAGGCAAAATTGTTTTCTGAAAGAAGAAAACCAAAACATAGCACACAAACAATACAAAATGGGAAAGAATATCTAAATAGGAGCAAACAGCTCACCAATAGTTCCTTTAAATGTGCTCCTGCAGCAGCCAAAAAGGAACTGAGGTTTTCAGCAAGAATCAGGCTGGTCACATGGATCAAGGGAAGAGGAACTAGTGCTAAGATGCTTAGAGAACAGCTCTAGAAGTTTCCAAATGATGTACTGCACAGGGACAGTGAACCCTTTTGTGTGAATCACAGAGACCATGAAGAAGAATCAATTGCATCTAATCCTTCTACTCCTCAGATATCCATTTTACCTTTTTCTAAAGAGCAGTACAGCTGGCTGTATGTTGGACATGGTGAACTCCTCAGTACGCAGTGTCACAACTAAGTTCATATAAAACTAACAATCATGAAAGACCACAGAATTCACCGCCTCATTGAGAAAAGGCGCCCACAGATTCTTGGAGTAAGTAAGTAGAAGAGGGTAGAGCATATACTTGCAAAGTTAGTTCTGGCCTTGTTAATTGGTGGAGACATATGAAATTCTAATCCTTCTATGATTAAAACAGCCATTAATTATGTCTGCTAGTTCTCAGCCAGAATAAAATTGTAAAAGTTCTTAAGACTACTGTGATGCCAAAGAGGCCGAGACTGAACAGAACAAGAAATGAGGTAGTGTGAAACAACAACCTATAAATACCAGATGAAAGTAGCTAAGTACATTTGAACATAATAATCAAATGAAGAACTTTCTTTCAGCAGGCCTTTGAGGGCTGACTGTTCAGGGAGAAAGGGCCGGTTGTTTACATTTGTTGTTGACACGAACATGGCTTCAGATTATAGTTAAGACTGTAGGCACAGATGTATTACAAAAAGATACAGTTGTTGACCTCACTGGAGTTTTAAAAATGGTTACTTCCACCCATGATCAAACCCAAATAAACATGCAATTTGCAAGGCTATTTAAAATCATGATGCACAATGTTGCACATAAACTCTTGTCAAACAGGTGTACTTTAAATACCAACTAAACTTGTTTATGAAAGAAAGGATTGGATTGTCAAAAAAGATACTAAGCACAGTGTGGGGGATCGAATTTCTAGGGAGAGGAATTGTAACCAGAGAACACCCTATTTCCCAACTGTACTAAAACAGTATTTGCAAGCCTTTTGTAAATGTTGGAAAAGTTACATTTTCCAATAGCAGAACTCTGCAGATCATTAAGGTTGAGCACTTCTGTTGATCCAAGAGAGTTAATATATTAATGGAAAGGGAGCTTGGAAGTCTTACCCGGACAGTCCCTTCAGAGCTGAGCTGCTTGCGCGGTTTCTCTGGTTCGGCCCGTCTCCCATCTGGATAGGCATGTAAGTATAGACATTTCCCTCCAAAGGGACAAGTCCCCTTGCCCTGCTCAAAATACTTGCAGGCCTTTCTCCTGGAATAGGAAAACCAGAAAAGACAATATTTTCACTTACACAAGAGTTACAACCACACCGTTCATGGTCAAGGTTGCTGCTGTCACCTTGACCAGTATAAAAACATGGGAGGGCTGAATACAAAACACAGGAAGTAAAAAAAAAAACGACATAAAAACAGCAAATGTTATCTCAAGAGAAAGGAAACTAGATATGATATGATTGATGGTAGCTGTACAGCATTGATTTCCAGCTTTAGTTGCCAATTGTGTTTTTATATTCACTTTTGTGTTATGGTTAGGATAGATGCAACCTTCACTGTAGGACTCTATTTAGAGTAAGTCTACTACTGCTTCAAGATAGGCTGCCAGCCTAATCAAAGTTAAATTGGCAATTAATTTTGTCTGTGTGCATGATAAAAAGTCCAAATATGAAATTCTGGAAAATCAGAAGGATATACTTTTAGGGATCTTGATGAATTCACTAGGAAATGACTGTGCTACTTCATTAATTCTCAAGTACTCAAAACCCAAGTGCTGAGAAATTGAGGTCTCTTCCCTTTCGACTAATCTTATTATTTTTAAGCAGGAGGAACCAAGGCCAAAATATAAATGTAAGACAGGTTTGGGGAATGACATATGATAAAATCCTCTCCCATTTTTCTATTAGAGTTTAAAAAACAAAATGTGAAGTTTTAATTGTACAACTGTGATACAGTAGCATCTGCATATATAGTTGTGCACTTAGTAAAACAACTTTTACCAATTAAGTTCAATCTGGAGCAAAGGGAGTTGAGTAGACAACATGTTAGAGAAGAACATACTCACAAAAATTAGACACTATGCATTGCTTCCATTTTATTTATTTCATTGAAAGCAACCTTTCCTGTTTATTCAAAGGTTATCCGGAAAGGTTACAAGATTTTTTTTAAATACAAAGAATGAGTATATTTTACTAAAGCTTACATGGATTGTAGCATAGGTATTATATTACATTACATGTTACATTACATCACATATTTTTCCACATAATCATCCATGGAACGAGTTTTTGATGCCTGTGTCATTGAAGTTTCCCTCTGCCTTTTTCAACCACTTTGTCACTTCAGTTTTACCACTTCATTGTCGGAAAAGTGATTTCCACCAAGGTTTTCCTTCAATTTAGTTAACAGAGGATAATCACTGGGTGAAAGATTGGGGCTGTGAGAGGGGTGGCTTAAAACATCCCAACCAAATGAAATCACCAACTCTTGTGTTGCATGAGAGGTGTGCGGATGCGCATTGCCATGAAGGAAACAGACCCCCGCTGTCAGCATCCCACAATTTTTGTTTTGGATGGCTTTGTGAAATTTCTTCATGGTCTCACAATATATTCCGTACCCATTTTATCACAAGCTGTCTTGACATTACGTCCTCTCCATAAACAAATGATTTCACGATGAATCGCAGCAGCATTCATGCCCTTAGTATTTAGGTAGCGTATTACAGCGCAAACTTTGCACTCAGAGGGAAACGGAATGAGGATGCTCATCTCTAACCTTCACCACAGCGCCAGTTGATGAGCTACTGATGAACTGGCACTGCTCATTCACTTCCGCTGGCTTCCCAGCAGCGATACCAACTTTTAATGAGAAAATTCCCCATGAAAGCTATGTGCCTTGTAACCTTACTTTCCAGATAAATCTCATATTTTTATGGGGAATTCTAGTAAAAAGGAGGAAATAATAAACTCACTAATGTGTCAGCTTACTATCATGCATGTAGACCTTTCCAGAAATTCAAACTGATTTTTCTGGTGTATTTGTTCCAGAAATGTAGTACAACAAATTGTTATGGGACAGACGGATTCCTGACAAATGCTCTTTTCTCTTATTAGTTTGGAATCTCCATGCTCTGATTTTCCAGCAGAGTAAGTGATTTATACCCTTTAAACAGAGGAGCACACCACCAGAGGCCCAAGCTGCTTCTTCTGACCAGCAGCTGCAGATTTCAGCTGTAGATGTATTAATAGCACAGCCACTGATGTGACTGATAAGCATAAACACGGGCATAAATACAGAGCAATGTAATATACACAACAAAAGCTTAGCCTTCTCGGAAACATATAACTATGTTTTAGAGTGCAAGACTGAAGGTCACCAAATCAAAGACCTGACCTTTTGTTAAATATAACAAGCATTTAACTAAATGGTAGACAGATTAGTAGGATATGTACACAGCTCACTCTTAAATCATATAGAACTAAAAACTCTTGATCCCAGTTTTTCATTGCCTACTCACAGGAAAGTAGAGAAGTCATCAAAACATTGACTGGGGAGTTAGTTCTATATTTCTAACTATCCCACAAAATTTCCAGTCCCAAATTAATAACAACTCAAGTCAAGACTGGTAATCCATAATCTCATTCCATTGGTCATGGTGGGAACTCCACATCCAGATATTTAGAGGCCCACAGACTCAACTCAACTGATTTAATGGAATTAGAAGCGGGAGGGGAAGAAAATCCCTTTAGGCAAAGAAATGACAATGACACACTATTGCTTAAAAATTGCCCCAAAAAGACACTGAAATGCTGAGCTAAAATCAAGTCCACACTGCAATTCTGGAAAAAATACTGTTCTTGCAGTGCTTTATGGTCTAATTTTCTGTTTCCATGTTGGAACCTAAAATTACGAATTCTATCAACAGATATTTCCAGATTCTGCACCTCAGTCTGAAACAATATTAACACAATTGGAGTCTTCAAAAAGACATAGTCACAGAAACACTATTGGACCATATGAGACAGAAATTGCACGCTGTGAGCATGTGCTCCCATAACATTCCCCAAGGAGCCCCAATAAGTTTAAATGCAACATAGCACAAAACAAAAGCGCCTGACCTTCCCACTTAACAACATTTACTTTCATCTCTGAGTGAAATAAAGGGTGGCTAGAACATGGGGCCCAGACAAAGATTTATTATTGGGGTCTCTCACCTTAAATTTAGCAACAGACTCTATAGCCACTTTGTAGACTGTTCGGTTGTTGAGAAACCAACATTTTATAATGCATTGTTTCTGCAGCCTTGAAGCCTGCTTATCCAGAGATGCTTCATCATTATGCCTGAACATTAATGCTCTTCAAAAACAAACAAAATTAGAAGCTTGCATATACTAAATGTAACTCAATATACAACTCAATATACTAAATGCAACTCAATATGAAACTCAATCAGAAGCTTGCATATACTAAATGAAACTCAAAGTGCAGGCAAAACACTAAAAATGGGTCTTATATCAGGACTGACTTGCTCCAATTCATCCAGTAGGCTTACCAAATTGATATAGCCCATAAAGCACTCAAAGTATTAACCTGTCTGTAGGCAGAAGTGGACAAAGTGCCATTTGGTTGCTCTTTTTGTGGTCCCATTGTATGTTCTTCATTGAATACTGGTGAAAAGGTTAAAATATTTCTTCTGAAAGCTTTAGGCGTGATACGTCAGTTTTGAAAATAGTTGTTTTTCAAAAACAGAAGTAGATTGCCAGCCATTTCCAATCTTATGGCAAATTCACTTTTTTAAATTTGATACTTATTTTTATTTATCATGTCAGATGCAAATTGAGAATACAATTATATTATATAAAAAAACACAAACAAAGCTTAAAACTTGGCAATATGCTAAATTTTCTTTGGCCATTTCAAGTGCCTCTGGTATGGCTGTGGGAAGGTCCTCCACTGTGCATGTGGCAGGGCTCCGACTGCAAGTGGTCTGTGGTTTGCTTTCCTTTACACTCGCATGTTGTGGACTCTACTTTGCAGCCCCATTTCTTAAGACTGTGTTCCGGCATCTCGTGGTGCGAGAGCACAGTCTGTTCAGTGCCTTCCAAGTCACCCAGTCTTCTGTGCGCCCCGGGTGGGGGGGAGTTTCTCATTGGTATCAGCCAATGATTGAGGTTCCAAGTTTTTACCTGCCACTTTTGGACTTTGTCTTGCTGAGGTTCCTGCAGGTAGATCTTAGGAAGTTGCTTCTTGATTTAAGACATTGGCATGCTGGTTGACATCTGTACAGAGTTGGGCCATTGATGTCAATGCCTTGGTCCTTTCATTGCTGGCTGTTACTTCCCAGTGGATATCAAATGGTGCAATACCGGCAAAACAGTATAATTTCTCCAGTGGTGTAGGGCATAGGCATCCTGTGATAATGTGCCATGTGTCTTTAGGAGCCATATCCACTGTTTTTAATGTGGTGTGTCAGCTTTTGTATGATATTGTTTCTAGCACCCACTTTTTTGCTTGATAGTCAAGCAGTGCTTCTTGTCAGAACAGTCTTTTGACAACACACGGGAATAAACATTGATATACACTAAGCCATTTTTTAAAAAAACCCTCAAATCCACTCTTCTCAATCATCTCTGATTTCAAATTGTTTTAATCATACTTACCCCACCCCCTGCTTAAATGCTTCAATGAGCTCATTCTTCTTGGTCTGGTCTTCAACCCAATACACACTGGGAATTACAAACTCTGAAATCACACGACATTCTGGGCAGGATCTTGAATGGAAAAAGAAGAGAACTGTGCTGAGAGTCTTGTTTTACACTTTTTGCTACACAAGAGTCCACACTGCTATATAATCCCGTTCAAAACAGATAATGCGGGATTTTATTCAGGTGTGTGGAAGGGGCCTTGGAGTCACATGTGATTGATCCTAACTTTCTTTTCATTTTACACATTTTTCATTAAAAATGAAACAGTTGCTGCTCCTGGGAGCCTTTAACAAATATCGTAGGCTGAATAAGTTTATTTAAGGAAGGACATTTCTTAATATGGCTGAGGTGGAGTAAATGCATGACTTCCTAAGTGATGTTGAATGGCAGTTCCCAATAGTGCTAGGCAACACAATGAAAGGTGATGTATGATTGCGTCCAAGCACATCTGGAGGGTTAGATACTCTCCATTTTCACAATAACCGTTATTTTTTCAGTGTGGTTCCAAACAAGGTCTTAATTTTGCCAAGCTTATATTTTAAAAAAAGCAAAACATAGAGGCTACTCTGAAGTACCTGCTGCTAACTATGTTTAGGCTGGTAGGCTTTGTCTGTGGTGACTTCAACATACTCTCTTCCTTTTCAAAAATATTTTAATTATTTTTTTTACATATAAACACACTGAATGGGAAGCAACAATACTTAGGAATACATAAACACATACTTAGACAATGATTACCTAACAAACAAAAATCTCTATAACTCTAAAACTATCAATATATACATAAATGAAGCCTATGTTGAAGGCTTCCATGGCCGGAATCGCTGGGTTGCTGTGAGTTTTTTGGGCTGTATGGCCATGTCCAAGCAGCTTTCTCTCCTAACGTTTCACCAATACCAGTGGCTGGCATCATCAGAGGTTTTGAAGATACCAGCCACAGATGCAGGTGAAATGTTAGGAGAGAATGCTGCTAGATCATGGCCATAGTTCGAAAAACTCGCAGCAACTCTATACATAAACTAGTTTTTAAAGTGGATTTCCAGCTTCTCTTTTGTTGGTTTCTCTATAAATGTAACAGATTTTCCACTTTGTCCAATAAATTGTTTATTTCTGCTTATTTTAACATTTACAAGTGAATATCCGAATGGTTATGGTCTCCAAACCTGTAATGTCTTTCCTCTTCACTCAATGTATATTGATAAAATCGTTCTCCTCTCTTCTTAGAATGTCTCAAGTAGCTTATTCTTTTGTCCATTTCTATTAATTCTGACACCTTCACTGTCCAGTCTTTATCATTGGTGTTTCTTTCTCCCTTCCTATTGATACTAATTTTATACAAATAATCATGCAAATATTCTGTGCCTTTTCAGTGTCTCTTTCACCTGGTGGCACTGAAAGTGTGAGTCACAGAAACTTACTTTATGATGGGATTCTCAAACTGCTTGACTCCCCGCCACTGTCGGATGCAGGACAAACAGTAGGTGTGGTTGCAGTTGGAAAGGATCCCAAATCTTCGTTCTGATGCAGATGGCTTGTCATACACCACTTCCATACAGATGCTGCACACCTTGTCCTGACTTGCCTGAAAGGCAAAGGCCTTCTCCATCTCATGTTCAAAGGTTGCCATGCACATCTAAATACATGGAGAAAAGGCCACAATTTCATTTTAATAGGCAGCAAGAGAGAAAGGGTTACTGTAGATTTATGTCTGGATGCCATTACAATTCAGTCATGTTTCAGCTTTTAAGTCCCACTGAATGCTTATTCCCATTTATAGAGTAGCATTCTAAATGACCAAATAAAGAAAAATCATACAAACAGATGTGTGCTTGTTGCTTATGAAATCCCCTTAAAAACTAGTAGCTTCAATTTGAAGAAAAAACTGGTCACAGCAAAAACATATTGCTAATAAAATAAAACTCACAGCATTGAAGTATAACCGCCCCATTTCGGTTTTTACAGGGAAAAAATATGTATACATAAAAAATACTATCTTTAGCATCCTAGAGGGACAGTAAGAAACACATGAAGCCTAAAAAAACATGGTGGTACAGTTTATATTAATGCACACATTGCAGATTAGAGGGTTATACTGAGAAAATAGGTTACAGCAGACCTATATAACAGTCGAGGCAGGCCACAGGTGACTTGAAATTGTCCACAGACTTTGTTCAAGCCTTTTTTATAGAACAGCAACAAGCCAAATCAAACACATAACTTTAAGAAGCATAATTCTGCTCTGTCATGCCCAATTGTATCTTTTTTAACTACAGATGGTCTGCATTTTAAAATTGTGCTATTTTACTTTATTATATGTGTTTATAGTGGATAGTTTTATATATTTTTTGTGATACTGTTTTATATTCATGCACCATTTATGTTATATGCTGTACTTTGGAGTGCCTTGTAAGCTGCCCCAAGTCTCTTTGGGGAGATGGTGATGGGATATAAATAAAGATTATTATTATTATTATTATTATTATTATTATTATTATTATTATTATTATTATTTAACAACAAAAATAATAACAACAGCATTATACAAAAAGAAAAATCCAAGGTAAAGATAAGGACTTCTTTTAATGTTAACTTTTATCTTCCAAATCTATGAACTACTTGGTGTACACAACTTGGATATCCTGTGAGATTTTACAACAGCGCCCACTTATTACTTCTAATCAGTTGAGAATGAAACTGTGACAGCAAATTCAACTCTTCACATAATACCTGTATTCAAACTCAGAACGCTGGTGTGTCTGATGGTTGTATATTGACAGTGACATGTGTGCACTGAAGTTACCAAGTTTTGTTTCTTTATCATAACTTCAAACTGATTTAGCCAATTGTTCTTCTTATAAAACTTATTTTCAGAACAAATGAATGTGATATACAATAATTATATTTTCTAGTACACTCCCTCTGAAAGAAAAATAATATGCCTGGTCAAATCTAGTAGATAACATAAAACAAGACTTTACAAACAGACATGGTATATAAAGACCAAAAAACTAAGTATTCTAACAAGAATAGATACAAAGGGAAATGGGTCACATTCTCTATTCACTCTACTGTGTGTAGTAGAAGGAAAGCTCCTGTTTTTAAGGTAAAACTGTTTTACGGTTCCCCATGACATCCAGGGAACAGTAGTTTGTTTTACTTATGTTTGAAAAGCAGCCCACAACCCAAAAGCATGTTATTAGCCATCATTTAAACTAGGGTAATTTTTTCCAAGTCCAGATGACATGGGGAACTTTTGTTAGCTTAAAGTCAGAAATGGAAACATTCAAATGTACACAATGGAGCTCAAGCTTTACTCCTGGTCAATTCTACCTTCTCGTGTGTTTTCCTCTGTTCTGGGTCAAAAGGGTGAAGAACTTGTAAGCCGCAGATTTCACACATTTGCCCATGGAGGTAGATGCATCGGTCACCAAACTGGCACATGCCAGCTGCCGCATAGGGACACAACTGTTCGCCATCCATGTACGAACTCCCTGGTTCAGCATCCTCTTCTTCAAGCCCACTGCGGATTGCATCCAAGTACGAATGGGGCTTTGTTTCGGGAGGAAGCACTGGAAGACTGCAACTTGCAGAATCGCTCAGAGAGCTGGATCTCGTCCTTTCTTCATTGGATCCACATAAATCTTAGAAGAGGGGAAAGGAATTATTTTATCTCATTCAAGGACAGGAGGTTATAAATTCATGGTAGATGACTCGCAGCATTTCCATTCTAAAGGTAGTAATTTTTTGGCTAACTTTAATCAAACATGAGAAATTTACTTTCATCTTCAAAGCATTGAAAGCTTTTATCATTGCCACGATTAATACCACAAAACCGAATCAAGTAAACCAATGCACCAACAAAGCATGCATTTTAGGTTTTTTTTAAAGGCTGAATGAATTACGGCATAATGGCAAAATGCCAATCACAACAAGTGCAGCATATAATTCTGTGCATGAAGGGAGAGATTGTAATTTTCAAAGACATTGGAGGTCAATGTTGGGTGAATTTTGTTCTCATCACAATGATTTCCTTAAGTGCAACATTTCATTTTTGTCCACAGAACTGGATGGCATTGATTGACTTATATGAGAGAAGGGAAAGGAATCCTTGCTTTTCTTATCTCAAACCATGAAGAATGCAACATGTATCTATCTGCACACTACAATGCTGGCTTCTACTCCTTGGTCATTTTCCCTTCCCCCCGTTCAGACTTAGGGTCGTTCTAAGTCTGAAATGACTTGAAGACACCCAGCAGCAACAATCCTAATTAACTTAACTATCTCATCAACCAAAAGCACGCCCACACTTTCCAATGAAAAACTGGTGGGTTTATGTCAGTTAAAATAGTTTTTAATTTTAAATATTGTACTGTCTTTCATGGGGTTCTTTTGCACTATGAATAAGATATTGCAGTTTGCAAAGGACTTTGTTCACTTTTTGTCTGGTCCCCCAACAGTCTGAGGAACCGTGAACTGATTCTTTGTTGGAAAAGTTTGAGGATCCCTGCTCTAATGCGTAAGAGTCAAATCCATTTATTTACAGTATTTCTATACACTTACCAGAAATTGAGAAATAAAATTAAGAACAAGTTTAAAAAAATCTTAAAATGTGAAAACTTGGGAGTTTTAGCTGCTTTGAGTCCCCTTCGTGGGAGATAAAGCAGGATATAACTAAATATAACAATAATAACTTCAGAGTCAGTAAAATCCCCAGCAAAAAATCCTAGGGATTAGAGTTGGGGTGCTACTTCATATATGCTAGCACCAAACCATTTAGGATTCCAATGGTTAAAAGCAAATTTCTGAAGAGGAACTTGAAATGGACTGGGATCAATGCTGAACTACCAGATGGAATGCTGGGAACAGCCATATTCTATGACTCCAGGGAAACAGTTGAGGAAAAAGTATACTTATCAAGTTTTGCATTATTTTTAAGTCAATAGGCAAGCAGGCAGCAATGACTGGGATTTACCTGCCCTTGGCATACATAAATGAATTTCTTTTCTACAAACCACATATTTACCATTAGTGTCAAATGAAACACATAGCAAAGGAAGATAGGATGCAATTTCGTTTTCACCCCTCTATAATTCTATTAGCCAAACAATATGCAATCATTTGGAAAACTGAGGCTTGAAATAAAACTGGGAGATCAACATAAGAAGTAGTAAATAAATGACAACACTGAAGCACTGATTATTCACTCCGACTCACCTCTGTCCCTGAGTACTAAAGTTTTCTTTTCCCGTTTTCCAGGCTCATGTACTTTACTTTTTGTTACCGGTGTATTTTGGTCTGGAAGAGCGTTAAGACTGTGAAATGGTGGTGCAGAAGCATAAAGTGGTCTGGTTCCAACCATAACACCTGATGCAGAAGATGCAGGAGGTCTAACATGATCATACCTTAAGAACAATAAAAAGACACAAAAATAACTAACACATACATTTAGATCAATGGTTCCCAACCTTTTTTTTGATCAGGGACCACTCTCCAACACTAGTACCAAAAGGGTTACGAATCAGTTTTTGGTCAATTTTAGGCTCGGTTTGGTTATTTGAGGTGCTGATTCAGAAAATTACATTGGATAGACCACATCAACTCTAGTTTCTGAAACAGAACATATGCCATCCAGTAGTCGCCATCTGCTTGCTCACAGAAAACCATATTTAATAACCCTCGGCACTATAAGAGGGTTTCGTGAGACCAGTTGCTCTTGTTGCAACTGTGTAGTAATGGTGAGGCCGTGGACCATATTTTAGTTCTTGTGGACCACCTTGTCCATGGACCACAGGTTGGGAACCACTGCTTTCGATCAACATAGACAAAGAAAAAGCATACAACTGTTGTCATGCAGTTTCTAAAACTTATAGAGATAACTACATTTGCAAAAAGACCTTTTGTTTATTGTTTAGAAAAGCTATGGTGCAGATAAAAGGAGTGTGTTTTAACAAGCTCTTAGTATACCTTTTTAAAATCCCCTCTGAAGCAGATGAGAGAGCCAACTTTGCACCTCTGAAAATCTTTGAGACAGAAATGCCCATAAAGGATAGAAGTGGCAGAAATCTACTTCTAGTTTAGCAAATTATTTTTTAATGGTCACTTAGCACATTCACACATGTAACTTATTTAAGAGGTGACTGACCTCTTGAAGGCTTCCAGGAAGAGCAATTCAGCCTTTTTGATGGCCAGAAGGAGGGAGATTTAGGGAGCATAGATGGGTTGAGGGACCCCAAACAATCTGAGAGTGGCATACAGCCTCAGTGCTGTACTTTGCCAAACTTACTTGGCAACATAATGAAAATCACTACCAAGGAACTCTGAAATGCTTTCTCAGAATGACTGCAATTTTGGTATATACAGCCAACTTAACAATAAGTGCCTGTGTATATATTTACTTAGAAATATCACCGTGCGAACACTCTAAATTTGGACTTTCTCTCAGGTATGCAGATGGAGCATTGCAGCATAACAACCTAAGACTGTGTATGGTTTTGTTTCCTGACTCCCACTAAGAGTTTAATTTCTAATGATTTCTTTGTAGCCAGGCAACTAGTATTTAGCATGGATGGGGACATCTGTTTTACACAGATTGCAAGCTTCACAGTCAGAAGCAAGTCCCATGGTGAAATATGTCTAAGCATACACAGCATTGAAGTTTTAGCACAGGGAGAATGGCTCGGTATGATATGTAACACTAAAGTATCCTGGCGCTGCCATTCTATACAGGACTCACTTACCTAAAGAGAAGCTCCATGTAACTTGGTAAAACCTTTTACTTAGTAGAAAAATGTTAGTATTGCAAAGATCTCTATGGGCCCTTCCAGACAGGCCCTATATCCCAGGATCTGATCTCAGGTTTTCTGTTTTAAAATGGATTATATGTCCCCACTGTCAGATAATCTGGGATAAACAGAAAATCTGGGATCAGATCCTGGGATATAGGGCCTGTCTGGAAGGGCCCTAAAATTTATCCAACTGCTGATAAGAGCTTTCTCAAAACCGTGTGAGTCTGGCTCCAATAGGATACTGGATCATTACGCTGGTTCAAAGTGCTGGCTTCAGCCCAGAAAGCCTTGAATGGCCCCGGCCCAACTTACCTATCCGAACGCATCTCTCTCTATGAACCATCACAGAGGTTAAGATCTTTTGGGGAGGCCCTGCTCTCGGTCACGCGACTCACAGGGATGAGAGACAGGGCCTTCTCAGTGGTGGCCCTTTGGCCATGGAACTCCCTCCCTGGTGCGATTAGATTGGCCCCTTCCCTTCTGTCATTTTGCAAACAAGTGAAAACTTGGCTTTGGGAGAAAGCATTTGACCCAGCATAATTATCTGTGTAATACAATTGGAATTGGCTTTGGATTGATGAATATGATTATCTATTGTCTGGCTTTGGACACATGCACAATAGTCATCTAATGTTTACATATGTTGTTTTAAATTGTTGTTTAACTGCTTTTAATTGTTATTGTTGTTTGGGTATGGAATAATGCCCCTCACGTAAGCCGCCCCGAGTTCCCTTCGGGGTGAGAAGGGTGGGATATAATTGTTGTTAATTAATGAATGAATTAAGCTCTTCCTAGGATGCTCCATGCAAATGCAGCCGTCACATCTGTCTACCGAAACAAACTATTCCAATAAGATAACATTTTCTGAAATAATATTGACACAACTACAAAAATTTATCAGAACCTATTAAAAAAAACTATCAGTTTGTACCTGCAGCGAGTTCCATAGGCACACTGTCCTTTCTGGTAGAATTTGCATATAGTTGATGGTTTGCTTGTTGACAAGTCGTGTGAAAATAGGCATCGACTTCCTTCTCGGCACACTCCTTGCATAAAATACCTGCAATGAAACTGCGTTTTAGTGAAAAAATAGCAACTGATTTAAGATGTATTATTTGTGCATCCATCCTTTTCAAGTTTGGCAGACCAATCTGCTCAGGTTTCTTCCTTGTAGTCTATCTATATAAATAAAAATGTAATGTTCGTTTGTGGGATTAACAGAACTCAAAAACCACTGGACGAATTGACACCAAATTTGGACACAAGACACCTAACAACCCAATGTATGACCCTCACTCAAAAAATTGATTTCGTCATTTGAGAGTTGAAGTTGCTGGGATTTATAGTTCACCTACAATCACAGCGAATTCTGAACCCCACCAACAATGGGATTGAATCAAACTTGGCACACAGTTCTCCCATGACCAACAGAAAATTCTGGAAGGATTTGGTTGGCAGTGTCCTTTGGTTATGGAGTTGTATTTCACCTACATCCAGAGATCACTATGCACTCAAACAATTATGGATTTGGACCAAACTACATGAATACTCAATATGCCCAAATGTGAACACTGGTGGAGTTTGGGGAAAATATAGTCTTGACATTTGGGAGTTGTATTTGCTGGGATTTATAGTTTACCTATAATCAAAGAGCATTCTGAACCCCACCATCGATAGAATTGGGCCAAACCTCCCACACAGAACCCCCATGTGGGCCACTGCAACGCGTGGCAGGGGACGGCTAGTTTATACTAAAAATTAGAACTAGAAAAGTATTTAAAAATTGAAGATGGGAGAAGGGGTTTAGAAACAGGTCCCAGGGCGATTACTAATGAACCTTGGTTCAAGTTAAACCCAGTTATTCCATTTGCACCTACACCAGGCCTGGGCCAACTTGGGCCCTCTCTCCGGGTGTTTTGGACTTCAATTCCCACAATTCCCAACAGCCTCAGGCCCCTTCCTTTCCCCCCTCAGCCGCCGAAGTTGGCCCATGCCTTGCCTGCGCTAAGGATGGGGCCCAGCCTACAAATCTTGGGAGTGTGAGTGTGTTGTTCTCCCTCCCCCGGGGCTGAGAGGGAGCGCGCCCGTCCCTCTGACCTGCAGGTCACGTCCTTCGTGGTGCTCATGTCTCCCGCGGCTCGGCTCCCGCTCCGGCTTCCCCTCCCCGCCCGCCTCCTCCTCGCATTTTGGTTCCGCTGAGCGCCGCTGTGGAGCTGGAGGCGGGCCGGAGCCCAAGCAGGGAGGGGCGGCTGGGCTGGTTGCTCGGGGAGCCGCCCGGCCCTTCCTTGCGCGGGGGCTGGTTTCCGGCCGGAAGCCTTAAGGGGCGGACCTGCCTGCCAAGGGAAGAGAAATAGGAAAGCGCTCGACGTAGCGTCTATGGCAAAGGTGGAAGGAAGCCACTCAGACCGGAAGTGCGAGAGCGTAGAGAGCAGGAAGTAGAGCCAGAGCGGCCACGAGGCTGAAGGCGGAAAACGAGAGAGGTGGGTAGAGCGCCCCCTCCCGCAAAATGTAGTGTATAATGTATCTCTACAGTAGAATGACTGCGGGTCGAGTCCACTTTAAACCGCCATGGCTCAGTGCTATGTAATCATGGGCTTTGTAGCTTGGTGAGGCCTTGTTTATACTACAGCTCCCAGGATTCTCAGTGGTTCTCAACCTGGGGTCCCCAGATGTTTTTGGCCTTCAACTCCCAGAAATCCCAACAGCTAGTAAACTGGCTGGGATTTCTGGGAGTTGTAGGCCAAAAACATATGGGGATCCCAGGTTGAGAACCACTGAGCTATGGGAATTGAAGCGGAGTCAAACTGGTTTAATTCCAGTTTAGACTGGAATATTATGAACAAAGGGATCTTGTAGCACCTTATTTGGAGAATTACAAAGGGCCCTTCTACGCTGCCAGATAATCCAGAATATCAAGGCAGATAATCCACGTCTGTTTTGAACTGGATTATATGAGGCTACACTGCCAGACAATCCAGTTCAAAGCAGATCATCATGTCCGAACGGATTCTCCCCGATGAACCATCAAGGTTGCTAAGATCATCTGGAAGGGCCCTGCTCTCGGTCCCATCACATTCGCAATCGCGTCTGGTGGGGACGAGAGACAGGGCCTTCTCGGTGGTGGCCCCTCGGCTGTGGAACTCTCTCCTGATGGAGATTAGATCTGCCCCTTCCCTCCTGACCTACAGAAAGCCAGTGAAATCCTGGCTCTGGGACATAGCATTCTCAGAATGATTGGGGAGTTCAGCAATAACCTAATAACTACTGACCACACTGGTGGATTGATATTAATGTGATTTTATCTTGGTGATTTGGCTTTATGTATTTATTTTGTATGTATTTTAACTTATTATGATGTTACTATGTTTTTGGTTGTATTTGTGTATTGATTTTCTGCTGTTAGCCGGCCTGAGTCCCTCTGCAGAGGTGAGAAGACCAGGGTATAAAAGTTTCAAATAAATAAATAAATAAATGTATATGGCAGTGTAGAAGGGACCTGGGAATACAGATGAAAGTTGTGAGGTCTCGTATCAGGGAGAGAGAAATTGTTAGTTGTGTGGGTCACAACTAAAGAAATATGCTTTAAGAAAAAGGTACATAAATCTAGGCTCTAAAATTACTTGGTGTCAGTAGGGCTGGCAATGGTTCAAACCATCTTCTGGGGACATCCTTTCCCATTCCATTCCATCATTTCTCTTTCAGGATTTTCTACCAGCGTGCAAATCTTAAGTGTTTTAAATCAGAAGCAAAACTCACACAGTTCAGGGGTTAGAATTGCAGTAGTTTTGAAAGAAGTAGTGGTATCAGTTCCTTCAAGCATAAAGAGGAGCTTGTGCTAAATTTGTTAAAAAAAATATGCCTGAAAGGTGCTGTGATATTCCTTTCCTTTCTTTTCTTCCTTTTTATTCTTAGAGTCACTGCCTTTCTTGGAATTTGTAAAAAGGCACCATGATGTAATGGGTTGACTGGAAAGACATGTGTCGGCAGCTGATTGACTGAGCATGCCAGGAGTCAGAATTCTGATTGGCAACTATCTTTAGCTTGATGCTGGGAGAAACGGTTTTAACTGTCTTTTTATCTCAGAGAGTGAAGAGAGCGCTGACTGGAAACAGCCAGGAAGGAATGACTGCCAACTCCCTCAAGCCTGATCATTTCTAAGGCATGAAGCAAATTTTAAAGACTATTTAAAAGGACTGTTTATTCCCTCTGTAAGAATTCAGAGAGACTGCTGTATATATTGTTGCTCTGTTTGACCTTTTGAACTGAAGTAAAGTTACTGTTACTCGTTACACAAATCCAAGTGACACATTATTATACTGCAGGGTATATTTTGATTCAGAAACAGTGATAAAGCTTCTGTTTGTTTACAATTACTACCTCCAACAAATTCCATCTCAGTTTGAAGCAAAAAGAGCAAAGAGTTTTGTGACACTTGAAAAACTAGCAAATTTATTATGGCATAAGGAAATCTTATGAAATCCATGACATTCGCTTACATCAGCCTTGAAGACGTGAACACACATAAAATAGAATCTACTGCCCTCCAAATATCTTAAGCTACTTTTCCTAAGCTTTCTGGAATATAATCCAGTGGTTCCCAACCTGTGGTCTGTGGATCGTGAGAACAAAAATACGGTCCACGGTCTCACCATTATGACACCAGTGACTCAAAACCACGTGGCAACGATAGTGACTGGTCTCGCGAAGCCCTCTTATAGTGCCGAGGCAACGGGGATGTAGGGAGGAGAGAGACTGACTACCCACAAAAGATTACTACAACTACATCAGCTCTAGATCATTAAATATGGTTTTCTGTGGGCGAGCAGATGACAACTACTGGATGGCATATGTTCTATATCAGAAACTAGAGCTGATGTGGTCTATGAAATGCAACTTTCTGAATCAGCACTGCAAATAATCAAACTGAATCTAAAGTTGACCAAAAACCGATTCGTAACCCCTTTGGTACTAATGTGGGAGAGTGGTCCCTGGTCAAAGTGGTCCCAGATTTTAAAAAAGGTTGGGAACTCACTGCTGTTTTAAATTGTTCGATAACAAGAATCACTGGCTTGTGATTCTTCAGGTGTATAGAGTTCCATCATCTCTTCCTATAGCCTGATACAATATAATACCATCTAATGCATTTGAAATATGGAAAACACAAGAATGGACATCAGACTGGAAAAAATCAACTTATATCCCCATACCAAAAAAGGGAAATGCGAAAGACTGCTCAAACTTCCATACAGTGGCCCTTATTTCTCATGCCAGTAAGGTAATGCTCAAGATCCTGCAAGGAAGACTCCAGCAATACATGGAGCGAGAGTTGCCAGATGTTCAAGCTGGGTTTAGAAAAGGCAGAGGAAAGAGAGACCAAATTGCCAATATCCGCTGGATAATGGAGAAAGGCAGGGAGTTTCAGAAAAACATCTACTTCTGCTTCATTGACTATTCTAAAGCCTTTGACTGTGTGGATCACAATAAATTGTGGCAAGTTCTTAGTGGGATGGGCATCCCAAGCCACCTTGTCTCTCTCCTGAGGAATCTGTACAAGGACCAAGTAGCAACAGTCAGAACTGACCACGGAACAACAGACTGGTTCAAGATTGGGAAAGGCGTACGGCAGGCTGCATCCTCTCACCCAACCTATTCAACTTGTATGCAGAACACATCATGCGATGTGCGGGGCTGGATGAATGCAAAGCTGGGGTGAAAATTGCTGGAAGAAACATTAACAACCTCAGATATGCAGATGACACCACTCTGATGGCTGAAAGCGAGGAGGAGCGGAGGAGCCTTCTAATCAAGGTGAGAAGAAAGCGCAAAAGCTGGGTTGCAGCTAAACGTCAAAAAAACCAAGATTATGGCAACAAGAATGATTGACAACTGGAAAATAGAGGGAGAAACCGTGGAGGCCATGACAGACTTTGTATTTCTAGGTGCAAAGATTACTGCAGATGCAGACTGTAGCCAGGAAATCAGAAGACGCTTACTTCTTGGGAGGAGAGCAATGTCCAGTCTCGATAAAATAGTAAAGAGTAGAGACATCAGACTGGCAACAAAGATCCGCCTAGTCAAAGCCATGGTATTCCCGGTAGTAACCTACGGATGTGAGAGCTGGACCTTAGGGAAGGCTGAGCGAAGGAAGATCGATGCTTTTGAGCTGTGGTGTTGGAGGAAAGTTCTGAGAGTGCCTTGGACTGCGAGAAGATACAACCAGTCCATCCTCCAGGAAATAAAGCCCGACTGCTCACTGGAGGGAAAGATACTAGAGACAAAGTTGAAGTACTTTGGCCACATCATGAGGAGGGAGCAAAGCCTAGAGAAGACAATTATGCTGGGGAAAGTGGAAGGCAAAAGGAAGAGGGGCCGACCAAGGGCAAGATGGATGGATGGCATCCTTGAAGTGACTGGACTGACCTTGAGGGAGCTGGGGGTGGTAACGGCCGAGCTCTGGGAGCTCAGGGAGCTCTGGCGTGGACTGGTCCATGAGGTCACGAAGAGTCGGAGACGACTGAACGAATGAACAACACAATGCATTTGATATATCAAGTTATGTTTTATAGGAAAGAACAATGGCAAAAATTATGTGTGCCCTCCAGGCTATGTTGTAACTTTGTAATTTTAATGTTGTTACTTTTTTATTTAGATAATTCAGAAATTTCAGGAATGAAGCAGAGTGCATTTATTATTATATTTATTTATATTCTGTTTCTTTCTCTTAAAGAGTCTCAAAGCGGTGAACAGGAATGAAAGCAATACAATATACAATTTAAAACTTTCAGACTATAAACATTAAAACATAATTAAACCAAAAATGAGTTATAGATGGCAGCACACTGTTGGCTGGGAGTAGAATATTAGGCACTCACAGATCAAAATATCAAAATGTATCAAATCAGGGTTTGGTGGAAAGTTGAATTTTATAGCAAAAGAATGTGCATCTTCAGCACATATTTTTCCCCCAGTTCCTGTAAAATTTGTTCAGATGGATTTGGTGCTTTTTAGAAACAAACTGTCTCAGGTCCCTTCCACACAGCTGTGTAAAATCCATATTGAACTGGATTATATGGCAGTATGGATTCAGATAACCCAGTTCAAAGCATATATTGTGGATTATCTGATTTGGCAATCTGAATTATATGGCAGTGCTAAACTGCTCAAAGGCACAGAACTTTGAGCAGTTTAGCAGTTTCCATTAAACCTAGAATTTTAAATCTTATTCTTATTGTGGAAATCGAATAATGGTAATTCATGCTTTTCGAAATCCTCTGGTACAAGCCCTGAAGTCAAATGGAGCCGGTCTGGAAAGAAAGATAACTCCAAACTTTTATTACTTTTATTCTTCTGTTTCTTCTGTCAATTACCAAGTGACAGCTGATTAGAAGGAACTGGACCAATAAAGACAAACCGTATCAGCCATAATACATGAATCTTTAGCTTCTTGCAGTATAAGTCTCAGGTAGGACTAATATTTAAAAGGATCACTAGCTCTTTAAGAGAATGCCAGCTAGAATCCTCCCTCCCTTTCTCTGCTCCTGTCTTGTTTGCCAGGCTTTGTCACATTGCAAGGATGATTGGATCTGTGGGCTGTCAATCCACTGCAAACAAATGCCCTCTCTCTTCCCATGCCCATTTTGGCGGCTAAGCCTTAACTTTAAGGTTGTCTCAGACAGGAAACCAGCAACATTTGCACAAGGAGGGAGCTGTAGCCATGCAGCCTTTGGACCCAGAAAGAGGCTTGATCAAAATCAGCCATTGCAACAGAGACATCTTTGCCTCCTTTGTGCCCCAGTTCTGCCCTTTATGTGGCCAGAGCCTGGCTTACAGGAGACTGGAAGAAGCACCTGTCAGCATCCCCAGCCCGTTTGTCAATGGGCACAGAGAAAGGTGCTCATTTTTACTCAAACCTACTGCAGGAACATTTCTAAGGTATGGCTCTTTTGTGGTTTTACCATGGTAATGGTAGCATTTTGAAGAGCTTGGAAAAATTAAACTTTGGTGTTATAACTCCCAATGCGTGGGTGTACTGAATTGGAGTTTCTGGGACTTGTAGTAACTTTTTGAACACGAGTATTGTGTTAGTATTGCTTTCATGTGCTCAAAAACAAAACATAAAAGCTGTGTTGAAACATTTTGGCCCGTCCAGTCCACATCATAATTGGAAATCCTCTGCCAAGATTTCAAACTGAGTTGTCTCATAGCCCGAATCTTTCAGATAGGTAGTATCACAATGGGATATGCCAGAGGCTGAACACATTCTGCATTCAAAGTATGCCATATAACCAGCAATAAACTCATAAGGATGCATCTACATTGTAGAATTAATGCAATTTGGCACCACTTTAACTGCCATGGCTCAATGCAATGGAACCATGAGGAGCATTCTCCATCAAAGAATGCTGGTGGTTTGACAAACTACAAATCCTAGGATCCCAAAGCACTGAAGTACTGTTCCATTATCCGGGTGGACTCCAAAAGGGAGCCTAGACAAAGAAGGATAGTCCATTTTATTTGGGGGGGGGGGGGGAGTTGAAGGAGGAAAATCATTTTCCCCATTTTCACTGGTTATTCCCACCCCTCCCATATTATAAACAATCGTACTTTTGATGGGGACATTGGTGGGGGAAATAACAGGACAAGGGGGAATGGTTTAACTCCTTCAACCCCCTTTCCCCCCAAAAATGGACTATCCTTCTCTGTAAAGCACCAGCTTGTGGCCTCCTCTCAGATAATGCAACAGTACAATTCCTGCAAATAAAAAGGTTGTCTTGAAACCATCACTTGGTCCTGAGGCCTTGTTTAGTTACAAGTTATTCTGTGAGTACTCCGAAACAGGGCTTCTTAATCTTTTTCCACTCGTGAACCCTTTCCGCACAACAAATTTTACATGACCACAGGTATATAAGTACATAGGTAAAGGGAAAGGTTGTCCCCTGACATTAAATCCAGTCATGTCTGACTCTGGGGTGTGGTACTCATCTCCATTTCTAAGCCGAAGAGCCGGCATTGTCCATAGACACCTCCAAAGTCTTGTGACTGGCATGACTGCATGGAGCACAGTTACTTTCCTGCCAGAGCGGTACCTATTGATCTACTCATATTTGCATGTTTTCGAACTGCTAGGTTGGCAGAAGCTAGGGCTGACAGCGGAAGCTCACTCCGCTCCCTGGAATCGAACCTGCGACCTTTCGGTCAACAAGCTCGGTAGCTCCATGCTTTAACCCACTGCGCCACCGGGGGCTCCATATAAGTACATAAAATAGGTATAAACACCAAACATTTACTGATAATAAATCAGCATTTGCAAGGCTTGCTAAACAGGCTGATTTTCCTTTTGTGGAGTACAGATGAAGCATTTTCTTCAGAGTCCACTGTAAACATTATATTTATTTATTTACTTTGCTTCTATACCGCCATTCTCAGCTCGAGGGCGACTCATGGTGGTTTACAAAACGGCACATATATTGTTGCTAACAGGTTTGTGTAAATGGGTGGCTTTCTAAAACCTTTTACTGTTGCCAACTTTTTCACGACCCCAACATTGAACTGAGAGAACCCCAGAAGAAGCCGTGCTCTGAAAAATGTTCAGTGATATGTTAACTGTGGCTAATTAAAAACATTTAAGAACCAATTCATCATACTAGAGAAAAAAATCCACTTAAAATACAGTTTCTGCTTCCTGCAGAATTCTGGGGTTTGTAGTTTAGTGAGGCTGCTAAAGGCTCTTCCCTAAACTACAACCCCAGAATTCTGCAGGAGACAGAAACCGGATTTTAAATGGATTTTTTCTCCAGTGTGATCAGGCGGTAAGACATATTATCAATTCAATTTGCCTATGAAAACAAATGTTGCTTTTGTTACTGCTCCTTAGGTGTTCATTGTGTTAGAAAGGCAGTTCTTTTGCCATACACAATTCTCAAACATTTGTATAAAAATGTACATGTTATTACAAATGTGCCTTACAAAAGGTTTGTTGTTGTTGTTCATTCGTTCAGTCGTCTCCGACTCTTTGTGACCTCATGGACCAGCCCACGCCAGAGCTCCCTGTCGGCCGTTACCACCCCCAGCTCCCTCAAGGTCAGTCCAGTCACTTCAAGGATGCCATCCATCCATCTTGCCCTTGGTCGGCCCCTCTTCCTTTTGCCTTCCACTCTCCCCAGCATAATTGTCTTCTCTAGGCTTTCCTGTCTCCTCATGATGTGGCCAAAGTACTTCAACTTTGTCTCTAGTATCTTTCCCTCCAGTGAGCAGTCGGGCTTTATTTCCTGGAGGATGGACTGGTTGGATCTTCTCGCCGTCCAAGGCACTCTCAGCACTTTCCTCCAACACCACAGCTCAAAAGCATCGATCTTCCTTCGCTCAGCCTTCCCTAAGGTCCAGCTCTCACATCCGTAGGTTACTACAGGGAATACCATGGCTTTGACTAAGCGGATCTTTGTTGCCAGTCTGATGTCTCTACTCTTCACTATTTTATCGAGATTGGACATTGCTCTCCTCCCAAGAAGTAAGCGTCTTCTGATTTCCTGGCTGCAGTCTGCATCTGCAGTAATCTTTGCATCTAGAAATACAAAGTCTGTCATGGCCTCCACGTTTTCTCCCTCTATTTGCCAGTTATCAATCAGTCTGGTTGCCATAATCTTGATTTTTAAAAATTTTTAGCTGCAACCCAGCTTTTGCGCTTTCTTCTTTCACCTTGATTAGAAGGCTCCTCAGCTCCTCCTCGCTTTCGGCCATCAGAGTGGTGTCATCTGCATATCTGAGGTTGTTAATGTTTCTTCCAGCAATTTTCACCCAGCTTTGCATTCATCCAGCCCCGCACATCGCATGATGTGTTCTGCATACAAGTTAAAAAGGTTGGGTGAGAGTATGCAGCCTTGCCGTACGCCTTTCCCAATCTTGAACCAGTCTGTTGTTCCGTGGTCAGTTCTGACTGTTGCTACTTGGTCCTTGTAGAAATTCCTCAGGAGAGAGACAAGGTGGCTTGGTATGCCCATCCCACCAAGAACTTGCCACAATTTATTATGATCCACACAGTCAAAGGCTTTAGAATAGTCAATAAAACAGAAATAGATGTTTTTCTGAAACTCCCTGCCTTTCTCCATTACCAGCGGATATTGGCAATTTGGTCTCTCGTTCCTCTGCCTTTTCTAAACCCAGCTTGAACATCTGGCAACTCTCGCTCCATGTATTGCTGGAGTCTTCCTTGCAGGATCTTGAGCATTACCTTACTGGCATGAGAACTAAGGGCCACTGTACGGAAGTTGAGCAGTCTTTCGCATTTCCCTTTTTTGGTATGGGGATATAAGTTGATTTTTTCCAGTCTGATGGCCATTCTTGTGTTTTCCATATTTGCTGGCATATGGCATGCATCACCTTGACAGCATCATCTTTTAAGATTTTAAACAGTTCAGCTGGGATCCCGTCGTCTCCTGCTGCCTTGTTGTTAGCAATGCTTCTTAAGGCCAATTCAACTTCACTCCTCACAAAAGGTTTATCTGTAGATTAATGTAGCCAATTGATTGCTAGAAGATGCGCTTATGAAAATGTTAATCATAACAGGACTAGATAAAAAAATCAGAAAAATCCAACAGATCTGTGTAAGATTGGCAGTTTCAATAAGTGGAATGTTTTCTGACATTTCCTACATATTAAATTTAATATTTCAGGGGGTATGATGGAAATTCTGATCTTCACGTTGGAATAACTAATACTAACGGTAAGAGCAGCCTTTTATTTACCTTGAAAATAAGAATTCCCTCTATGTGGATCATAAATGCCTAATTTTGTATATTGTTGCCTTCTAACTTCAAATGTTTGCATACAGCTCAGACCGTTATAAAACTTCAATGTAAGTATTCATAAAGTCTCAAAGCTTTTGAAGACAAGGAACAAGATGCTTGCACATCCCTCCTTGATCACCAAAACTATTCACTGCTTCTCTGCTCCTTGATTTTTGATGCAACAGGACTTTTTCCACAGTTGCTCTCCATGGGAGTCAGAGCAGCCCTTTCCCCTTGCTCCTTCATCTTCTGCTCATCCCTCTTTGTTATGTTGTCTTAAGCCTTCTCCTGAGGCCCCCATCTCTCTCACTCTTCCCATGTCCAGATTCCCTCTGGCAGCAATCCTTCCTGTGTGTGCAACCCAATGTGCCCTTTCCACCAAGCCTTATATTGCAATTGCCAATAGGCAGCAATTAATCTTTTTAAAAAGAGTATTTGTACTGATCATGCATTGTGCTATTTTGCACTTTGGATTGTCTCTGTGGCTGTCTCTGTAGGTTTGGTATACAATTACAATGAAACTGGAGTTCATAAAGCAGAATATGGATGGGAAGAATGTGTGAGTGTTCCCCTCGTCCAACCTGACATGTACGACCTGCTTTCACAGTGGGACATATACCTCAAACAGTTCTCGGCAGCAGACATCTGGCTTCCTCACAGGTATGCAACTTAGCAGGTAGATGGGATTATTAGGAAAGGCAGTTTTGATTTTGGTATTCTACTTAGGCTAACAGCTGGTTTGAAGCACTTAGCTGAAGAAATGGCTCCCCAGAATCCCTGTTCAAAACTTATTTCTTCTTTGGGCTGCTGCAGGAGGGTAATATTTGTTTCATTCAACAGAGAAGGATACTCCCCAAGAGGAAGAGTGCAGCTTCCATCAGCACACAAAGCTTGCTCAGTCATGATAAACTCTACTAAGTCTCATTGTTTATGAATCCATGATGGTGAGGGAAAAGAGAAGGTTGTTGGATCTAACCATTTGGGTATAAAGTACAGATCTTTTTCTAGGTCAGCAAAACATTTGCCTGAGGACTTTATCCCATGTGTATGGGGTGAAGGGAAACATCATGTTACCATGGCATTTAGTCCTGTAGCGTTGCAAAGCACATAGTTCCATTATTCATTCCTTATCGCATGCCATCTCAATTTGATGGTTTAATAGTTATTATCTGTTTTCTTTTCCTTTTTAAGTAGAATATAACATTGTCACAGACCTTTACAAAAGTTTCCCCCCATATATTCACATAACATTTTGATGATTCCTGTTTTCCTATCCCTTACGTTTCTATACTTATCTACGACTTATACAGATAAGTATAAGTAGGTACAACTGCTCCCTCCAGGAACAGTTGTACCTCTGGTCTATGTATTATTTTATTAGTTCGATCATGAAGAATGTCTGATTCAATTCCTTGTATTTGCCTTTCCATTTTATTCCATTTATAAACTATTTTCATCCTTATCCCACAAGTGAGTGGATACCCCCCCCCTTTTTTTAAAAAAGGTGTCTAACTTGAACATCATAGAGGCTCAAAATCTCATGGTATCTCAAGATCCCATGTGTTTTTTTTATTTTACATTTTCCCAGTTATATCCCAGTTCCTGAGTCTGGAAGATGATCTCTGACCTTCCCACTCCCTTTTTTTTTTTTTTGTATTTCATTTCTCTAACAAAACATGATGGGCTCTGACAGAATTCCCCCTATAGCATGGGATGGGCTCTGTCATTTTTTGTTTCCTCAGTGAATTATATCTGTTTAGAAATGGGGGATGGGTGGGTGGGAGAAAGTCCATAGTTAGCAAAGCCTTCCCCTTCCCCATTGTTCCTCCTTTGCTCCCCGGCTCTGGTTTCATGGAAGGACAGAAGTGCCCATTCCATATGGCCTTCACATATGCTGCCCTGAAGTTTTTCAAGTAAGGTTCAATTTTCTTCTGTCAGTTCTTGTGGGTTTTTTCGGGCTATATGGCCATGTTCTAGAGGCATTTCTCCTGACGTTTCGCCTGCATCTATGGCAAGCATTCTGGTTTGGCTTCTGTAGATAGAATTGCTGGCAAGGGAGGGTGAGACCGGGATGGGATTTTGTCCTTTGTTTCAGGCCAAATGTTGTCTTATTTTGACAATGTTGTCACTGTTCATTTTGTTATACATTCTATGTACAAAAGGCAACCACGCTGCCATTTTAACCTTTCCTCAGTTCCTTTATTGTATCAGAAAGAGCAGGGCAGAATATCTGACACATGTTTCTCCTCTCTAATAACTTACCAGAGCACCCTGGACATGCCTGATCTCAATCAGTTAAAAAGAGATTTATAATTTGTAACTATAATGTAGTTATTTTGTGATGTGGAATTATAATCAATGACTACTTAGAATGTAGTATCCCAAACTCTGGGAATTACTTGTCAGTGAACCTGCACCACCACCACCTCCACCATCAACATCATCAATTTTATTTGTTACCCACATAGGATTTCTCTGATTGATCTAACAATCTAAGAGGTGGTAGATCAACCCTGCTGCTAATAGTTTTTCACTGTATTTTACAACTCAGCAGAAAGTAGGACATAATCCAGTACAACATCTGATCTGCCTGTTAGAAAATGAACAAAGCAAAGCAAAATGGGTCAGAAAATAGTTGGGGTTTGGTGCTTCTGTTAGCAACTTGTCCACTATCATTGCAGGTTAAAATGTTCTCTGGATGGTTCAGATACAAGCTTTTAACTTTCCTTTTCCCCACATCTATTAGTCCTCATTGAGTAATGTTATGTGAAAAGAGGACAAGGAACTCAGTTTAAACACTGAAATTCTTGGGATCTGAAAAGGAGATTGCTTTGACACATCTAAGGTCTCATAGCTGAATATTAATTTTTACATTCTTTTTCTTGATCAATTTTTGTTTTAGCTTTTAATAAACCATACATGTTTAAGATGTTAAACAGATGCATATTGCTTAATCATTCCTTATTTCTTATCTGACATCACTATATTTTGACAACATTCTCATGTGCATAACTTTCTGTTCAGTATCCAACATTTCATTATCCATTTCTGCTGGATGTGCCAATGCAATCATCATTAGGCTTGTTTTCCCATTCCAAATCTGGGAGAGAAATGTGGAATCTGTCAGGTTCCTAATTTTGTTTTGACTAAAACACTCATCAGCTCTAATGTCTATATTGTCTGCAACTCATGGGAATTTGAGGCCAACAATAATTTTATTCTGACTGGAGAACACAGCTTCCCCATGTTTGCTTTAATGCAAAAGTGAATGATTGTGGCCCTCCAGGTTATGTTGGACTGTGGATCCCATCATCTCTAGCCAGGAAATGGAAGCTGCCATCAGAAAATATCCCTGTTCCAGAAGCAGAGGAGAGGGTTTGAAGGTAGAAAATTAAGATCGTCCGGGGAGGCCCTGCTCTCGATCCCACCTGCATCACAGGCGCGCTTGGCGGGGACGAGGGACAGGGCCTTCTCGGTGGTGGCTCCTCGGCTGTGGAATGCCTTACCTGTAGACATCAGACAGGCCCCTTCGTTGTTGGTGTTCTGGAAGAAGGTGAAGACCTGGTTCTTCGAACAAGCGTTTGGCTAAACAGTGCAATTGAATATAGGAATACGGTGCAATCAAACATAGGAACATGAAACAAAGGATTATGAAAATGGATTCTGATTTGTTGTTGAGGCGTTATGATAATGATTGTTTATTGATATTGGTTGTTATGTATAATGTGTTTTAATTGCTTATGATACTGTCTTGATAATTTGTACTATGTAAACCGCTTTGAGTCGCCTAAGGGCTGAGAAAAGCGGTATAGAAATAAAGTAAATAAATAAATAAATAATAAATAGAAAATAAAGTACGTTAAAAAACAATGTTTACGATGGTGATCGGAATTTTAAATTCCTGCAAGTGAGATTAATTTGAACTTCATAGTGAAAGCTATTAAGGTGGGCTTTCCTGTTAATTTTGACAAAGATAACAACAACAACAAACAACAACAACAACAAACAACAACAACAACAACAAAGTCTCTCACACAAGCCTGTAAAGGTGGTCCCAGTGGTGATTGGCAGACTGGATGCAGTGCCTAAAGACATTGGTCTGCACTTAAAAACAATCGGCCCTGACAGAATTACCAAAAGGCCACCCCTACTCGGAACTGCACGCATTATTTGAGAAGTGTCCAACCTGTGATCAAATACAAAAGCCAGCATAGTGATCTTGTTTGCTGCGTACTAATCTAGTTGTATATCAAATAATAATAATCTTTATTTATATCCTGCCCCCTCTCCTCAAAGGGACTTGGGATGGCTTATAACAAAAAATACAGTATACATAATAATACTCAACCAACCAAATACTGCAATTATTAATAAGCATGATTAATTAGCACAAGTTCCAAGATTTTAAAATATTTATTTATACTACAGCTAACAGTGTGGAGCAGGTTTTAGTGATTTCAGGAAAGGACTCTGAGTGTCTTTCAAGCCTTTTAGAAGCTGCAAAGTCCATTTTTTGCAAAGCTTGATAAGAGCAATGCAGACTATGAAAATATCCATCATGAAATATTTCTGACTTTACTGGAGTTCAGTAAAAACATCAAGGCTATAAATCTTATGAGGATCACATTTTTTAAAAAGCCCTCCCATTTCGTTCTGGATTCTAAACAGGAGGCCATAAACTTTGTGGTTGAGCCCCTCATCTGTTTTGTTTTAAGCAAAGACCACCCAGAAACATATGGCCCGAGAGTGTAAGAGTAGGCTACAAAAGCATTCATTCACATCCATTCTACTTAAAATCAATCAATAAACAAATTCCTCTCTAAGAAAACAGATACATTATATTTAGAAAAAAGAAAATTAGCTATAATAGCTTTTTCCTGTTTGTTGAAAGTATGTGCGTGGGGGTGGAGGGGTAATCTAAAATAGTAGGATATTATGTAACTTTTTTATCAGTTCCATTCCCTTTAATGCAACCTTTTTGATTTTAAGCCTGAAACTATTTCATTACAGATTCAGCATGGTTCTCAGTTGAAAAATAATATATGCTACAAATATGTTGGAAGGTATTAGGTCAAATTCCTCCTTGGGCAATGAAACGATAGGACTGTATCACAAGCTAACACAATATTTAATAATTACATAGAACACAGATTCTTTAAGCTCTTTTCTTCCTCTTTTTTTACTAGGTATGAAGAACATCTCCACAACTGTTACACATATGCACTGACATTTATTAACTGTGTGCTGAATGCCCAAAAGAAGCAGCAAATGAATAAAAGTGAGTTTACAGAAAGGTTTGTGATTCCACGGACAAGAAAAGCTTCCAAGTATATCACCATCTATAAGGAAATATGTAAGAGCGGCTTCTATGCTGTGGATCACCCCGAGCAAGACAGCCAGACTCCCCCAGGGAGCCACTTGGCTTTATAGGAAAGCACTTACGCAGAGCAAATGGAAGCAAAACCATCGGGTGAAGATAGGCATGTTTTTCTATCACAAGGAAAATGAGAAGCTAGGACAGCAACATGATTTAATGTGTGTTTATTCATGGGGAAATCCCAAAGAGACCAGTGAAAATTGCTCTCAATTGTCCACAAGACTTCAGAACCTTGACATATAGACCTCAATTCAATAGTCCTTAGTAAGCGTTATGCAACTCCCATGCAGAATCGTAATATAAAGCAGCTGATGTAGGGAAATGCCAGTTGCACAATGATCGAAGTGCAATGTGAGTTGTGTAGTGTATGTTGTACTGTGTATACCTGTGCGTGCAGCACATTGGGCTGGCTGTAGCTGTTACACAATGTTGTGGATTCTTCAAGAGCACTTTTACCACAACCTCCTGAATGTGCCCCTTGCGCCATATTGTAAATCAGGGCTGTTTGCTTCTGTCATTACCCGCTGAACTTGTCTGTTGTACCATGCTGAATTCTGTTGGAATTCAATCCCACACTGCCCAAGTCACAAGTCCTCAACGAGGAGCATTTTAGCTAGCTTAGTATAGACTAAGGCAGTGGTTCTCAACCTGGGGTCCCCAGATGTTTTTGGCCTACAACTCCCAGAAATCCCAGCCAGTTTACCAGCTGTTAGGATTTCTGGGAGTTGTAGGCCAAAACACCTGGAGACCCACAGGTTGAGAACCACTGGACTAAGGTTTCCCTTCCATGTCTCCTGTATGACAGTTGGGAATATATCTAATTTCTTCTCGCCTCTCTGTTTCTGCTGTCATTCTAATTGGTTTAAAATGGATACTTTTCTACTGCAAGCTTTTAAATCTGACTTCTGCCTTCTTACATTTCAGCATGGAGAGTATGTGCTTTGAGATCTCTCTCTGCTTGTGTGTCAGGAGAACTGTAATGATTGTTTTCTCCTCTCTTTGAAACCTTAGAAGAGATGGGTGTCAGAGTAGCTCAGACCCAGTTCTTTACCATGAAAAAATGTAGTTAGTTCTTTATTATTGTAAATAAACCTTTTTGTGATTTTTAAAAGATCGGACTCTGCATGTTTGTCTTCCAACCTCTGAATTCTTTACAGCCATATCACACAGAACTTCACACTTTGCTCGCTAATGAATTGAATGCTTAACTTTTGTATTCTGTTTGTTTTTGGATGCTCTGTTATATATTTTAGGGTAGTTTTCCCTAACAAATTCTTCATACCACAGGGACAGAGGCTACTCCACACTCACACGTTGCTTCCTGAATTCAGACTTTAATGTGATAATTGTTCAGCTGGGGAATGTGCGGCTTTGGATTGTAGCAGTTGTTAAAGTAAGTTGTAGCAGGACCAAGTGTGTGTGTGTTGAAGAAACACCTTATGATTGTAATTATTATGTGCAGCTGGTAATGTAGGTCAACTAGCGATCTTGGACCACACCCAATAGGGTATAACTGTATAAGTATTTAGAATACAGTTCTGGAGAGCTTTTTCTCTGAGGATATCTATGCTCAAAGGCTCTGCTCTGAGGAGCAGGTTGGAGAGAAGCCATTATGTTGCTCCAAAGAGGCTATGGTGGAATAGCTGTTTGCTCAAGGTTTATGTTTTGCTTTCTCATATGACTTAAGATGAAGATGCCTTATTTTGTGTTACTTACAAAGACTATGTAAGTTTCTTGCACTGTTTCTTTTTTGTATGCAACATTGCAAGTTTGTATTTCATCTCTGCTATTAAGAGTAAAGATTTTTCTGTTCATTTCTACTCTTGTCTCTGTGTCTTGTTCCTTGGGACGTGGCTAAGACCCGCTTGCTGCGCAACAGCAGTCTCCTTCTCTGGAGGTTTTTAAACAGAAGCTGGATGACCATCTGTCAGGAGTGCCTGATTGCGTGTTCCTGCAAAGCAGGGAGTTGAACAGAATGACCCGTGTGTTCTCTCCCATCTCCTCTAGGATTCTAACTTTGAAGAAGTTTATCTCTACTTTTCTGAACAGTGACACTTGATGTCAATAAATTTATTCATATTTATGTATAAAATAAAGTCATTCATTCAATTCTAACTCAACGTAGCCCTTCTATGAGTGATGAGACTGCCATTCAACAGAAGATGCTGCTAATGGAAGTGCACATGTGTGAAAGCTATTATTATTTCTCTTCTGGCTTTCCCTACTAATTTTGACAGGATGTGCTTTTGTGGAACTCCATTTAAGACATAATAACCCTTTCAACAAACTCAGGATTCCCAAGCATTATCTGACTGGCCATATGGTCAAGTATATTTAATAAATTGAATCTTGATTGACAGAGGCGGATAGTAGGAATATCCAAAGTATTCCCCTTTGATTTTCATTCCCCAGGGCCACAATCCTTATGCCCATTTACTGGGAAACAAGCCCTGGGGGGCTCAGTAGGGTTTATTTACAAGGATTCTGGAAGCCAGATCCCTGCATACTTGAAACATTTTTATGGTTCCAAAGCAGAAATAAGCCATTTTATGCTTTGGACATTTAAAACTGGAGCTACAGTGTAGGAACAACTGTAATTACGGAGGAACGATTATCTGAATGAGGCAGCTATGCCATAAAGTTCAAGAAAATGCTAATACGTGGTGGGATGAGAACAAAAAATTAATGATGGGGATTCTGGGAAGGACAAAAACAGCATTATAGAATCCAGGTTTTTTAAAAAAATGTTTAATATTATAGTACAGTTTATAAAAAAAGGCACCATGCTCTGACAGCTCTACAAGAAAACGGTTTGCTGTCCATTTCATCATAGCTCCTCTTGTTCACTGCGTTCAGAAGATGAGACCCAACGATTTAGGATCAATTCCTAGAAAGGAAAACTGATAATTAAAATCTAAAACTTTACCAACAAATGGATTTTTTTACATTTCCAGTTTACATGATACTACTTTTCCTGTAGTGAAGATATGCCTTGCAGATTACTTTTATAATAAAGGCAACAATTGATAAATACAGATCCCTGCCACAGAAGCATTCCCCAATCCCCACTATGTCCTAACTGGGCTTTCAGGTTTTATGACTTCCCACCTTTTTTCTGTCTCCCACATTCCCATCTTTCTATCCTTCCTTTCATTCAAACATCCTGTAAAAATAACTTTGGGGTCTGTTTGTTGTTCTAGTTTGTCAATTCAACATCTGATGAATGCTTTGCAATGAGTGAGTTCTCAGAGTTATTTTAATTCTGCTCAAGTCATAAGCAGTGCAACTCTTAGTCTTTCTGTCTTTGAAGAGCACACTTCTGTACTTTGAAAAGCATTGCAAAAGGTTTGCTGCATGGCATACTAACCTGTAATTCAAAATAATACTGCCAGAAGGATATTTGGAAGTATGAAATGAAATACTTTTAGAACAATAACATTACAGATTTTTATCCATAAAGAACTTCTTTTTCGCAGTGCCGTTTCAAGACCAATTCACTTGTTACTGAAGTACTTTGATATCATAATCCCACAACACTTCTGCAGTTTCAAGGAAGAATCCACGTAGATCAAGGAAATAATGTGAATTAGGTTTAGAAAACTGAATACTCACAACTAACTGCTAAGTTAGGTAAAAAGATATTTCGCTCAGCAACATCCTTTTTTTCGAACCAGACAGCCATTGAAGATGCCTCCAGGTGGCATCTAGGTTTATTGAGGTGGGGAAAGTTCAAACAGTATTATCTCTGGATTTGGATGCCTTGAGGCAATCACTGACTTCAGACAAGAAATCCAGGGATGGCTTGCATACCTGAACTTTAATTCTTTTGAGGCATTCAGGGGATAACATTTCTTTTTCAGTCATATCAGATGGCTTGATCAAATAGCAGAACAAGAGTTCCTGATGGTAAAGAATGTATGTTATTAGCAACAAAATAAAATACATTTTATTACCATTTTCTTGTAAGTGGATGACTTAATAAACATAATCAAATTACGAGGTATAGGATTTGCATTTTACCTCTACAGGCATAGTTCACTTAACAAATGTTCTTGCTGTGAACCTTCTTTTCACAAAGAATTTTTACTCCATCTCAAATCCAGTTTCTCCTCATCTTCTGTGTAGATGAATTATTTTTAGCAGATAAGCTTGCCTCACCAGCTACTCCTGAAATGTCTAAATAGCCACGAATCCCTCTGAAAAGTTCATAAATTAAATATTGTGGAGGCTAGTGACAAAGGCTGCATCTACACTATAGAATGAATGCAGTTTCACACCACTTTAAGTGCCATAGCTCAATGCCATGGAATTATAGGTGTTGCAGCTTGGTGAGGCACAAGTATTATTTGGCAGAGAAGGCCAAAAACCTTGTAAAACTAACATGCTTTTTATTAATTACCTTGGAAACATTTGCTGTAGTTCTGTTCAACCCAGCCAAAGACTTCCAGCTGAAAGGCCTGCGCAACGGCCCTTCAAAGTCACCATTAACTAATTCAACAATCACAGAGTAACTGAAAAACAAATGAACACAACCATTTTAATTCAAGGTTTATAAAAACAATTTAAGACAGATTTGGCCAACAGAGAGGATAAAAACTACTGACCAAAAGTGCAGCGAGTGCATTTTCCATAGCCTTGAAACTTCCCTTTAAGCAAATCTCTGTGTAATTGAGACCAGCTAATATATACAGTCATATAGTTAACACAACCTGTAGGTTAATGAGTTAAGTATGATGTATCAGAGCAGGTATACCAGGAGAGATCCGAAGATGAAACTGTTCATCCAGTATCAATCTCTGTGAAATCTAAATAATTCCAGTGAGCTCATATAGAAAAATATACTTGTTTAATCTTAAGCATATTTATTACAATGTCATTTCTGTACACCTTCTCAAAATAATAATATGTCTTTTGAAACAAAATGTCATGTTGCCGAATAGAATGAATGGTATATGTTGAAAATAATATTCATGCTAACTGTGAGAGAAATAAGGTTAAAAACTGTGAAAGCCATCCACTGCATAGCTATCAGCCTCCTTCCAATACACTCAAATCAAGGGAAAGCTTCATAAGAACCACCACTCTTCATAATGTTCTCCCAGTATTAGCAAGAATATCCCTCTGGGCAGCTAAACCAGGAAATCCTAGTTGGATGGTCCCCACGAGGGTCTGCCTCCAGGGACAAAGGAAGAATGGCCAACTTGGAAGTCCCCGAACAGACTCAGAGTGGAGTTGGCAGATCAAAGGACAACCTAGCTAAATGGCACTACCAAGAAGAAACCTTCACCTTGTATGACTGTGGAGCAGAATAAATAACTTAGCATCTGTATGCTTTTCCACAATGCCCTGCCTCACGAACAGAAGAATTGTTTAAAGCTACAGACAATGAGGTCGCTGTTGCCTGTTTTTGGTCTAAAATTATTTAGTCGCTTGTGCTCTCTCTGTTTTATCAGTTTTATACTTATTTATGCAATGCTTTTGACATGAAATAAATAAATAAATATTAATAAAAAGTAATATATCTAAATATTGAATGCTATACCTGGCATGATAAAACGGAGGACCCTTTCGATACAACACTGTAATGGGAAAGAAAACAAACAAGCACTTTACTAAAATGTAATTTTAAAATGTGAAATAACAGTTGGCAACCTCTTGGTGAATCATAATGGGGTACATTGAACTTACACCAGCGTAGCTCACTTTTTTGGTTGTTGCCAGTTGGAATTAATTATAACTGTGTGTTGAGATTTATCCCACTTCCAAATTCGGCCACTTCTAGTTGGTGGAGGGGTGGGATGGTGAACAGCAGAGAAATGTCCAGCTATTTTATTAAAGCTGAATGCAGGGGAGGGGGACTTGTTTTAATAGTTAAGTTTCATCTTCAGCTTAACTACCATCTTGTTAGATCTGCTCCCTTAATAAAAGAGGTGATAAGCGAAAGCTCTGCTTATTATCTCCCAATTAGGATTTAGACATAGAAGCAACTGAGAAGTAGACAGTTTCACTCATTCATCCAAAATGCTCTCTAACATCTTCAGGGAGAACAAGGACAAGTGAACATAACAGGGATTTATAAAAAGCACAATGTGTTTGCAAAGTGTCCCATAATATAAATAATGAACACTGCCAATAGCTTTCCAGGCTCTTTCTGTCCATGGTAGAAAGCTTTGCATCCACACTGATGACAGCAGCCCATAAATAAAACATTTTTAGAAGTTACAGTAGCGTGAACATCAATTATTTAAACTAGTCAGCAATGAATGGGAGGGCCGAGATAAGCCCTCAATACCTAATGGTCACATAAGTGAAACTCAACTGAATGCACAACAAACCTGAAAACAAAACAAAATTGTATTATATGAAGACACTTTGAAAAAATAGAGATCAAGTGAACAGATCTAGAGAGTGCTGTGGTTTTAGCTCTGAATCTGTTTTTAATCAATTTTAAGCATTTAAACTGTTTATTTTTAATACCATTAATATCTAATACCATTTTAATGTTTGTACTGAATAGTTTTAGGTTTTAAATTGCATTTGCATTGGTTTCACTGTAAGCCTCTTTTGTAGAGAGAAAAAGTGGTGCATAAATAAATATAATTACAATAAGTAAAGGTAAAGGTTTCCCCTAACATTAAGTCTAGTCATGTCCCACTCTGGCAGGTGGTGCTGATCTCCATTTCTAAGCCAAAGAGCCAGAGTTGTCTGTAGACGCCTCCAAGGTCATGTGGCCAGCATGTTACCTTCCTGCAGATGGGGTACCTATTGATTTACTCACATTTGCATGTTTTCGAACTGCTAAGTTGGCAGAAGTTGGAGCTAGTAGTGGGAGCTCACCCCGTTCCCCAAATTCAAACCGCCAACCTTTCGGTCCGCAAGTTCAGCAGCTCAGCGGTTTAACCCACTGCACCACCAAGGGGCCCAATAATAATAACAATAACAACAACAATAATTTAAAATATCTTGTGGAAGGAGTCACCAAAACCCATGCTCCCCCTTTCCCTGAACACAAAGGACCTGCATTACACGAACTGCTTCCTATTGCACAGTAAACACTGATAGATGCAAATAGGAAAAGAAGATTACTTACAGAGGTCAGTTCCATATTTCAGCCCAACTTTTGGCACCCACCCTTTACTCCGAAAATAGTGGTATGCCATATATGTAGCCTTAAAGTTGGGTTGTGCATCACTGAAAACTTCCCATAGCTTCACAATAGATAAAGGAACCTAGAACAAAAGCAGTTGCTTCTATATAAGCACAACACATGAATACAGCAAACAATTGCTGACTGTTGTCAGCAGTCTTGGTCAATCCAAAGCTCCTCTTTTATGTCAGTCAATTAATGCCATGAAAATACATTGGCCAAATGGAAGCAGACATGAGTTTGCTATGTAAAAGAGAACACCAGTAGCATCCTATGATCTGCAAAGGTCTAGGGCAGGGGTCCTCAAACTAAGGCCCGGGGGCCAGATGCGGCCCTCCAAGGTCATTTACCCGGCCCTCGCTCAGGGTCAACCTAAGTCTGAAATGACTTGAAAGCACACAACAACAACAATAACAATCCTATCTCATCAACCAAAAGCAGGCCCACACTTCCCATTGAAATACTAATGAGTTTATATTTGCTAAAATTGTTCTTCATTTTAATTATTGTATTGTTTTTAAGTGTGGTGTTTTTTTGCACTGCAAATAAGATATGTGTAATGTGCATAGGAATTCATCCATGTATTTTTTTTTTCAAATTATAATCCGGCCCTCCAACAGTTTGAGGGACTGTGAACTGGCCCTCTGTTTAAAAAGTTTGTGGACCCCTGGTCTAGGGAGCCTTGTCTATAAAGATCAATGGTAAACAATGAGCAATGTACTGTAGGCTTTTTAAAGCCCTTCTCACCAGTTTTGCTATTATTATTATTATTATTATTATTATTATTATTATTTATTTGCTTTATTTTTATACCGCATTTTTCAGCCTAAATCGGCGACTCAATGCGGTTTACAATGCAATTTATATAACAGTCACAATTAGTTAAAACACAACATACACGACAGACAGTACAAGACAAAACAACGTGATCATCAACGCCTCAATAAAATCAGATTCCGTTCTCATAATCCTTCTACCATTCCTTTGTTCATTTATACCGTCTTCATGAGTTCAGTTGCCTTGTTGACCGAACGCCTGTTCATAGAGCCACGTCTTGACCTTCCTCCGGAACTCCAGCAACGAAGGGGCCTGCCTGATGTCTACGGGTAGGGCATTCCATAGCCGAGGGGCCACCACCAAGAAGGCCCTGTCTCTCGTCCCCGCCAGCCGCGCCTGCGACGCAGGCGGGACCGAGAGCAGGGCCTCCCCGGACGATCTTAACATCCTCGTCGGTTCATAGGTGGAGATGCGTTCGGAGAGGTAAGCAGGGCCAGAACCGTTTAGGGCTTTATAGGCTAAAGCCAGCACCTTGAATTGTGCCCGGTAGCGGATTGGCAGCCAGTGGAGCTGGCTCAGCAGAGGAGTGGTGTGCTCCCTGAGTGCCGCTCCCGTTAGTAACCTGGCCGCCGAGCGCTGGACCATCTGAAGCTTCCGGGCAGTCTTCAAGGGCAACCCCACGTAGAGCGCGTTGCAGTAATCAATCCGGGATGTAACCAGAGCGTGGACTACCGTGGCCAAATCCGACTTCCCAAGGTACGGGCGCAACTGGCGCACAAGTTTGAGTTGTGCAAATGCTCCCCTGGACACCGCCGAAACCTGGGGTTCCAAGCTTAGCGAGGAGTCCAGGATCACACCCAAGCTGCGAACCTGCGTCTTCAGGGGGAGTGTAACCCCGTCTAACACAGGCTGTAACCCTATACCCTGTTCGGCCTTACGACTGACCAGGAGTGCCTCTGTCTTATCTGGATTCAATTTCAATTTGTTAGCACTCATCCAGTCCGACACAGCGGCCAAGCAACGGTTCAGGACCTGAACCGCCTCCTTAGTAGTAGGTGGGAAGGAGTGACAGAGTTGGACGTCATCTGCGTACAGATAACACCGCACCCCGAAACTCCGGATGATCTCTCCCAACGGCTTCATGTAGATGTTAAATAACATGGGGGACAATATTGAACCCTGCGGGACCCCACAAGACAATGGTTGTGAGGTAGAGCAGTTGTCCCCCAGCAACACCTTCTGAGTACGATCCTCTAGGAAGGACCTGAGCCACTGCAAAACAGTGCCACCAAGGCCCATTTCCGCGAGGCGTCTCAGAAGAATACTGTGGTCGACGGTATCGAAGGCCGCTGAGAGGTCCAGCAGAACTAACAGGGACACACTCCCCCTGTCTAGCTCCCTGCGCAGATCATCCACTAAGGCGACCAAGGCTGTCTCGGTACCATGTCCCGGCCTGAAACCAGACTGTGCTGGATCTAGATAATCAGTGTCTACCAAGAATACCTGGAGTTGTGAGGCCACCACACGTTCCAGGACTTTGCCCAAAAAGGGAAGATTGGAAACAGGCCGATAGTTGACGAATTGAGTGGAATCCAGTGATGGTTTTTTCAACAGCAGTTTTATCACAGCTTGTTTTAAGCTGGCTGGAATTTTGCCTTCCCGAAGGGAGGCATTAACCACCACCATCACCCACTCGGCCAATCCCCCTCTGGCCTCCTTTAGAAGCCAGGATGGGCAGGGGTCTAGGATGCATGTGGTTGCCCTCATTCCTCCAAGTATCTTGTCCACATCCTCGGGTTTCACCAATTGAAATGAATCCATCAAAATCGGATAAGCAGATGCTCGTGTTACATCCTCTGAGACTGCCGTTAACATGGTGTCCAGGTCAGAACGGATCAAAGCGACTTTGTCTGCAAAGAACCGAGCAAATGCTTCACAGCGGGCCGTCGAGTTGTCAGGGTTGCTATCACTCAAACTTGCACAAAAACTATTTAGGGATAAACTGAATTGTCACTGTGTGGTGGAGAATTCAGTAGCATTGGATTTAACAGAATGGAATTAATTTCACTGAAATTTAAGTATAACCATCCACAGGTTTTTCTGTCATTTCTGCAAGTGTGCTGGTATAGCTACTTAAGTTCCATTTTGTCTAATCCCATTTTTCTGAATTCAACAGGCACATATAACTTGTGAGGGATTGCAATCAAATATTACCCAGTTATGAAAAAGCAAGATTACTAGCGATAGAAATGTTGTTCACCCCTTAAAAAATAACCAGTGTCAACTTGCCAAATCAGCCATTGAACAGTAAGTCAATTCTTATATAAGCCCCATTGCTCCAGTTGGGACTAGCAACTATACTTAGGCAACAACGTCCATTCCTGTGTACTAAAAAGTAATACCCAAACTAACAGTTTATTGGGTTGCTGTGAGGTTTCCGGGCTGTATGGCCATGTTCTAGAAGCATTCTCTCCTGACGTTTTGCCCACATCTATGGCAGACATCCTCAGAGGTTGTGAGGTCTGTTGGAAACTAGGCAAGTGAGGTTTATATATCTGTGGAATAATGTCCAGGGTGGGAGAAATAACTCTTGTCTGTTTGAGGCAAGTGTGAATGTTGCAATTGGCCACTTTGATTTGCACTGAATGGCCTTGCAGTTTCAAAGCCTAGCTACTTCCTACCTGGGGGAATCCTCTATTGGGAGGTGTTTCTCCCACCCTGGACATTCCACAGATATATAAACCTCACATGCCTAGTTTCCAACAGAGCTCACAACCTCTGAGGATGCCTGCCATAATGTTGCCGAAACATCAGGAGAGAATGCTTCTGGAACATGGCCATACAGCCTGAAAAACTCACAGCAACCCAGTGATTCCAGCAATAAAAGCCTTTGACAATACAACAGTTTATTCATGCACAGTTTAGCTGCACGTGATAATAAGCATCGACTTACCTCATTGTAATGGATACTTAAACATCCCAGTGCATAGACTAAGAAAAAAGCCTACAATAAACAAACAGTAAAAAGTGTTATATTATATTTATTTTATTATATTTATGCATGTTATATTTATCATAGAGTACTGGGATGGATGTGTTCTATACAGCAAAAAGAGAGAAGGAAAAATCAACCAAAAGCAGCATATTGTCTGAAGACAGTTATACTGAAACATACATGCTTCTCATTGAAGAATAAAAGCAGACTGCAGCTCCTTATTTTTGTAAATACAATCAATATTAAATATTTAAATAAACAAACAAACAAATTGCTAAAGCATTGGATCAACTAGAGAAGTCAACTTCTTCACTTTAGAAAGGATCTGTAAAAGTCACAGCATTTGTTGAAAAATCAACAAGGAATTTTCTTCAAGTGAACAAGTGATGTTGTTCCAGTTAAGACACAGAGGATTGCTGAGATGGAAAATACTGTATATGATATTCTAATGTAGAGTTAATCGCTATTACTTGCTTCCAAAAATTGCACTGATAGCAATACAGTTAAAGTATTCACAGTGCTTAATATTCACATCCCAAGATTATCAAATTCAACAACATACCTCCAATAGACTTACCTCCTCTAGACTAAGTTGCAAATATTCAAAAATCTTAAATGGATTTCTTCTGCAGACCAACTTTTCTATTTTGTTTAACTAGAAGAAAGTAGTAAAAACAAAGTTATGAGAAAGCAATAAAGACATTTATTTCATTTAGTTAAAACTAGCTAAAGACTAAGTAAAGACTGGCATAGTAGACTGAATTTCTTACACAAAAGTATATGTTTAATTCTCTTGCCTTTTTGCTCTTGAAATATTTTCTGCCTGGCAGATCTTTTCTTAATGGTATTGGTTGACCTGTTCTGATGTCAGAGTAAGTTTGATGTTTGATGTGTGATGTTACAAAAGATTTGGGTTACATTTCTGGACATCACAAATTTGGCTGTGTAGATGTCACAATTGATTGTCCAGAAACCTATTGTTCATAAAATCAAGGATTGAACTTCAACAATCCATGAGAAACCTCTATTAAATTAGCCTGTCATTATTGCATAGATGAGGTATGATTTTTCCTATGATGAGTGATTTCAGAGACTTTCAGTCAAGATGATAAATTATACTTATGTAAGACCCAGGTCCACAAATGGCTTGCTCTAATCTTTTTTCACAAGAAAGTTTACACATTTTTTGAACAGGACATGCATCCAAAAGAAGAATAACCATGTTGTGCTCTTACGTGTGATTTCTCATTTCCAGTTGCTGCTTCAGTTGGATACACATTTGATTCCTCTTCTTGTATTAATACATATTCATGATCATGATCTTTATTGAGCCAAATATGGGAGTTCTCTTCATTACAGCTGTCGTGCTGAGACTGGTAATGTGCACTCGATGAATGTTGTTCTGCCAAATGAGTCCTGGCCACAGTTTTTGAGTTTGTTATATCTGATTTGTAAGGGTTGCTGTTGACTAGTGGATCATAGTGGGGGTCACTTTCCAAGCCATGTTCTTTCTCCCCACTGGTTTCTGAAGAAGTCACGAAGTCTTCTGGTTCATTGCCATCCGCCTCCATTTTGAGGGTCCCCTCATTTTGAAATTCACAACTCTGCTCAGTTTCCTCTCTCAGATTAAGGGGTTTGGTGAAATCCAGAAGGATTGCATTAATTGTGCAATCATCTAGTCCTTGCTCCTGCATAAGGCTTTTTGCCCATTCGACATGACGCTGGTACCTATGATGCGAAGAAGCAGAAAATGTGAACACTGTTTCTGTGATTCTGCCCATTCTTTAGGAGGCAGATCTCGTGTAAATATATGTATTTTTATTTATTTACTGTAATTATACTCCACCCTTCTCACCTCCGGGGGGGGGGGGGGGGGGGGGGGGGGGGGGGGGGGCGGAGGCGAGGGGACTCAGGGAGGCTTACAAGCTATGACAATAACTCAATGTCAGATTCTGACAATATCAACAATAATAAAACACAATATTACAACTGTAAAAACATATACAAATCAATTATAAACAATATTTCAAATGATTAAAACATATCAAATGCCTAGCACCAACTGAGCTTTGTAAACATTAAACTGATTGCTTTGTCATTCTTATACAGATTCCATTATACTTATGGGTCATATTAACCCCCAAGGGCTTGCTTAAATATCCGGGTGTTAAGATTTTTCCTGAAGTTTAAAAGTGAAGGGGCTGTTCTGATGTCATCGGGGAGGGAGTTCTACAATCACGTGGCCACCACTGCGAAGGCCCTGTCTTCGGAATATTATTATTATTTGAAACACAACAAGATTAGTCCACAGCAAACAGGATAACTATGCTGGTTGTTGTATTGGATCACATGTTGGACACTTCCCAAGTGTCTAGGACTGTGTGATGTACTGGAGAATAATGTGTGAAGATCCTAGTAGGATGGCGTTCTGCACCTGGCAGATGGTAATCTTGTCAGCGCTGATTGTGTTTACGAGCAGGCCAAAGTCTTTAGGCACTGCACCCAGTGTGCCGATCACCACTGGGACCACCTTGACTGGCATGTGCCAGAGTCTTTGCAGTTCGATCTTTAAATCCTCATAGTGTGTCAGCTTTTCCAGTTGTTTCTCTTCAATCCTGCTTTTGCCTGGGATTGCAACATCGACAATCCATACTTGTTTTTTTAAACATGATCGTGAGGTCAGGAGTATTGTGCTCCAGAACTCTGTCAGTCTGAATTCAGAAGTCTCAGAGTAGTTTGACATGTTCATTTTCTGTAACTTTTTCTGGTTCTATGTCACAGGCAGATGGTATTTGTGGCACAAGTTCCAATGAATCATCTGAACAATGATGTATGCCTCTGCTTGTAGTTTGTCTGCGCGATCTTCTTGCAGCAGCTGAGGATGTGATCTGTTGTTTCATTTGCTTCCTTGCAGAGTCTACACTTGGGATCTGTCATTGACTTATTATTATTATTATTATTATTATTATTATTATATTATTATTATTATGTATTAGTATAATAACAGTATGTTTATAGTATATCACATTATAATAATAGTATTATTATTAATATCCACCAAATGGAAGAATACTATAGAAATTACAAAATGGTAAGTTTCGGAAACATAGCATTATATAGGTAGATAGGTGGAAGAGTAACATTATTATTATTATTATTATTATTATTATTATTATTATTATTATTGTATAATATAACAATAGTATTATTATACTATTGTTATATATGATATATTGTTATATATGATGCATTGTGTGTCTCCAGATGTCCCATATGATTTCCTGTAGTATATGGTTTCTCATAGGATTTTCTTCAGTTACCAATCTGCCCAAACATTACCAGAGTTCTGGGTCATACTGTGACCTTCTCACATTCATATATGGAAAATCAGGGATTACATGTAATCTCAGAATTTTAGACCGTGAACTGTCCCTTGCACAGGCTTGGTTCAGTTGAAACAGAAATCTACAATTTTCTGTTATGCAAACAAGTTCCAATAAATCTCGTTCTTGTGAATTCTTTCCTCTAGTTCAATTTTTAGTTTTCTACTTTTTATTTTGAACTAACCAGTTTCCCCAAAACAACAAAATACAGGGAACCTAGGTCTGCTTAAACTAGTTAGTTAAACAACCCAGAATCGTGCTGTGATTTCTGATCCTGCTTTATTCACTAACCATAGTTTACACTAGAGAATGTATATTTCATGTATATATGTATGTATATATGCCTCCTGGTATTGCTAGACTACAACTCCCATCAGCCATTGCCAGTAGAGCGAATATTTTGGAATGCTGGGAGTTGCAGTTCTACAACAACTTCAGGGATCTATCTTATCCATCCCTGTTCTAGAGTCTTGTATTAATCAGTGTTGCAATTTTCAGTATCTATTAGTATGAAAAAGTGTACACAGTGTAAAACTAAGGTGCTTTCCTATTTCAACTGAATTATCTTTGATCTGTTTCTAGCTTTTGACTTTAGTTCCCTGACTCATTGCAGCAATGACTGTGAGCCCACTACTGAAAAGGCCAGACACGATTTAATATTGCTTAATTATTCTAGAAATATAATAGTGCACCTCTAAGTGAGCCTCGTAAAACCATGTTGACCTAACAGATCAGAAGGTAATTAAGAAAAGTATTTCTAAGGCAGTAGCAGTAGAGGCAAACATTATTTGATAAACAACCAGAAAAATAGATGAACACTTTGCTTTTTCTGGAATGGGAAAAATCTTTCAAAATATCAATGCTTATACCATTAACTAAATGCTTGCTGTGCAAACCCCAATAAAGTAAATGTCTTACTTTTTTGATGAGACTACTGGCATATTAAAATTGAACTCTGCAATAAATAAAAAAGTGAAATTACTGCTTTTGCACATGGAATACATGCTCAAAACATCAGAATTTTTTTTAAACGGTTTGGATAAATCTTCAAAGAATGTGGACATCTTAAGGCACCTGTAGCATTACAACGTTGGAAATAAATATGAAAAATAGATTTGTTTCCTTATCTTTCTAACCACCTTTCTGGGAATGAGGAAACAAAACAGGACTGTTGTATTACTGCATCTATAAATACTACTTCCCATCCTATTAAATTTTAATGACCAGTAAAGAAATAGCACACAGTAGTTGGGCCACTGAAACAGGCTCAATTCTGCAAAGATGATGCCTTCAAATACATTTCAGAAGGATTACCTTGCCATTTAGCAACCAACACAGGATCTGAAATACTGTACTCTGGTCGACTTCTTGAAAGAATACCTTTCCCAAAAAATCCCTAGGGGGAAAAATAAATATGATCAAGAGCCTAAAATATATTGAAAGTATCATCTAGATCTATGGTTATGCATTGAAACTTATAAGCCAATGAATCCAAAATGCTTGCCATTGGCAAGGGTTTAATCTCATTGTAGCCCTCACTTGCACTTTCCTGGCAACCTCTGTGAAATAGGCAAGCTGGTAGAGTATGTATAAACATCCAGGACCCATCATGGTGTACAAGTTGGAGTGTTGGAGACCAGGGTTCAAATCCCTGCTTGCTCATGAAACCTACTTGTGAATCACACTCTCTCAGCCTCTAAGGAAGGCAAAGGCAACCCTCTTTTGAACAAATCTTGCCAAGAAAAATCCTTAGAATTACCATAGGTTTGAAATGATCTGAATGCAAACAACAACGATTCATAAATCTAAACTTGACTGATCTACTAGTAGTTTTTCAAAAACTGACAAGAGGCTAAATTAGTTTAAAGCCATTTTGCACCCTTCCTCCCAATATATATTTTAATTATTTAATTATAGTTAATTTATTAATTTTATCTTGCATATTAGTAGGATGTTTGTTACATAAAATAAACATTGTTGCCAGTAGCAACCCACCCACATTTTCCCCAGACATTGTCTTCACCCATCTTCCTAATAATCACACATATGATTAAAGTTATGATGCAAGTCTTACACATTTTTACATACAGAACCAAGACATTAATACAGCAGGTATACCTAAGGAAAGTATAGGGGTAGTGACACTGATTGAAGAGTCCTTGGAATCCTCGGGTTGTTGGTGGCATACTTTGCTTATGCCCTTATGTATACTCCTGTGGGCTCTGCAGAAGCAGATATGCAGTTGCGCTTTCTAAAACAGCAGTTCCCAATCTTTGGTCCTCCAAGTGTTTTGGGCTTCAGTTCCCACAATTCCTAACAGCTGGTAAGCTGGCTGGGATTTCTGGGATTTGAAGTCCAAAACACCTGGGAACCACTGTTCTAAAATGTTCCTTGCTACAGGTGAGCTACAGCAGCCAGGAAGCTTCTGCACATAGCTGTGGTCACCCTTTCCGGGGGGGGGGGGGGGGGGGGGGTATCAGCAGATTCAGCACAAAAGAAAGAAGGAGAATCCTTACACTAAGGCAGGGCTTCCCAAATTGTTTCAGTCATGGAACATTTTTGTCCAAAAGAACCCTAATTCTATCCTTAAGCACTGTGAGGCCACAAAGTTTTTTCCTTTTTTTTCATCTATTCCTATTGCCTGATTGTTTTGGATAATGTAGTAGGTTTCAAACTAAAGACATAAAAACACAGTATGACACAGGAAATGAGATACATATGCTGGATTTCGTATCATAAAATCACAGGATGAACACTTCCCAAGAGTTTAAGATTGTGTGATTTATTATTATTATTTATTTATTTTACTGACACAAAAACACAGTATGTCACAGCAAATGAGATATATATGCTGGATTTCATATCACAAAATCACAAGTCAAACACTTCCCAATTGTCTAGGACTGTGTGATGTATTTTCAAATGATGCGTGCAGATCCAAGTAAGGTGGCCTTTTGCAACCGACAGATCGTGATTTTGTCAATGTTCATTGTTTCCAAATGCCTGCTGAGATCTTTTGTCATGGCACCCAGTGTGCTGGTTACCACTGGGGCCACTTGTACTGGTTTATGCCGGAGCCTTATCATCATCATCATCATCATCACTATTATTATGTTTATTTATATCCTGCTTTTTCTCTCCAGTATAAGGAGACTGAAAGCAGCTTTATATAATTATAAACCTCTTTTTTGGCACAAGAAAATACTGGATTTACACTTAAAGTGATGAATGAAATTGTTTCATTTTTGTACTTAAAACAGTTTTGAAATTGGGCTTTTTGTCCGACAGTGGACTATGTAAACCCAAGGTGGCATAAGCTGAAAAACCTGGTAAGCGGATAGCCTTTCTGGCTACTGACAGTTATCATCGTCATCATCATCATCATCATCATATTTAATTATTAATTGCCCTTCATCCGAGAATGCTCTAGGCGATTTACAGCTAAATTGTAAAAGATAAAATACATACATACAGAAATTAAAAATTAACAGAGATCGAATGCTCTAGTAAAAAGCTAGAGTTATAAGCCTATCAAGTCTACCCAAACGTCATTCAACAGCAAAGCTTCCAAATTTTGTTTTTAAAGTAGAAGTACACTGAGTTTCAATAAGATCTTCATACTTTGGCACAGACTTAAAAAAAAGATTTTCTAGAATATATTAAAAAAATTTTTTGGGGGGGGGGGGAATCCCTACAACGCTTTTGTGCAATTCTAGGGTTCCATGAAACCCAGCCTGGAAATGGCTCCAGTAGGAACAGTGGACAAAGCTACAGCTCAGTTCTGGGGAAACCCTTTTGTGCATCTGGCAAAGTAGATAAGGCACAAACTCAGCAATCATCTCAATATATGTACACTGGTGGAACTTAAACATTCTGCCAATGAGCTACATCAGTGAACAAAGCAGACACACTCCTGAGAATTACGTAACAGCAAATTTGGTATCGAAGTCAGAAACAACATGAAAATAATAGAAACAGGTTTTATATCTCACTCTGCAAGAGCAGAAGTCTTCTAAATATGAGAGATTTTGAGTATTAAATAGTGCAAGAAGGCTGGAATACCTTGCTATACAGTTGTTCCATATCCTCTGGATTCTTCACAATTACATTATTATTTATAATTTCAGCTTGGCATATTTTAAAATCTCGCCCATAATTGCTTCCATCACAAAAATAAATAGGGAATGGGGAATCATATGGTTCATAAATTCTTCTCTTCCTTTTTGGAGGATGAAAAACTGCTTCTGCCATTTTGTATTATGTTCTTCTTTAGCAAAAGTATCTAAAGAACAGAAAGAAATATATATATTTAAAAACATGAAAGAGTTGACACATGGAAACTTTTTAGGTGTGATCCATAGTCTACTTCAAACCAACATACCTTTCCTTGAATTGGCTGGATCCAGTGGTTCTGAAGGAATATAACCAGAAGGGTGACACCATCTAATATGTTCATGCCCTGAGTTACAAAAAAATTATAGAATAATTCAGATTGATGATGTGACACAGACATACATTAAACACATACTATGGATGACAGCTTTCTCCGCATTCCAACCTGTCATCCGAAATTACGATACTGAAGTTACTGCATGAATTTAGATGGATTTTGATTTTATAATCTATTCAAGAAGGCACTAATTGTGTGATATAAAGATTGCAATATTTGAGAAAGAATTTGCCTTTACTTAGCTCTTGGGAGATAAACTAATAAAGACAAAAAACGTTAGTAAATCCCACTGTGATTAAATTCTGGCATATAATTTTTCCTTTGTGAAATCACTTCAATTTGCTCAGTTTTTGGAGATCTGCAGACTTGATTGTCTCATAATTAGGTTCCTAGGTTAGTTTAAGATTGCCTCTACATTTTAAATACTTCATTACTTCTACTGACACTTTTAATCTCCTCATTCTACTCTTTTGTGGCACACAGACATAACTGGAAAAACACTTTCTGAGGAAATATATGTCTTGGCTCACATTTCGTTTCATTTCTTCTTTTATTTTTGAAACCTGGTACCTTTATATCTGGGGCAAAAGAGGCCAAAATTATATTTTTCACTCTCCGTTTTGCTTTCCCTAAAAGGGACAATACAAAGAAGAAGAAAACAGTAACGAGTGTCCTGTGGCACTTCAAAAAACTAGCAACTTTTATTTGGCACAAACTTCTGTGGACCTAAGACTAATTCTTCCGAGCAGCAGACTGGCATCCAGAAGAGCTTGTCCAAATAAGTGTATTTTTTCTAAGTGCCACCAGACTCTACAGTACAGTTGGCCCTCCGTATTCCACCATTCAGTTTCAAAATATATATTTTAAAAAAACCTCATAAAAGCAAACCTGAACTTTTGTATCAGGGACATTACTTTACTGCATCACTGTATACCAGTAGTTCCTAACTTTATTTGACCAGGGACCACTTGACCAGGGCCACTCTCCAATATTAGTACCAAAAGGGTTATGAATCAGTTTTTGGTAAACTTTAGATTCAGTTTGGTTATTTGGGGTGCTGATTCAGAAAACTGCATTGTATAGGCCACATTAGCTCTAGTTTCTGATACAGAACATATGCCATCCAGTAGTCGCCATCTTCATGCCCTCAGAAACCCATCTATCTATATCTATGTATATAATAAAGGTGAAAGTTTGTATGCGGCGGACAAAAGTGTGGCGGTGTGATGGGTGCCAGCGTTTTGATTGGCCAGCCTGAAAGTTCCAACATTCTGATTGGTTGCCGCAGTGGTGCTATTTGCATATGGTCTCTGATTGGCCAGCTTCAATAGAGCCCCTGGTGGAGAAAAGAGTTCATGGCAGAAACGGGGACATGAGAAGGAAATTTGCATATGGTCTCTGATTGGCCAGCCTCAATTCCAAGATTCCGAGATGACAAAGAGAGGAAAGGAAAGGCCAGGGGAGGCTGAGTCAGACAATTACCAATACAGACCACACTTGGCACACAGAGCCTGCAAGACCCACTCGACATCCTACTGCAGTTTGGAGGAGGATGAACCATGGATCATGGGACTTGCAGTACCATACTGCACTTTGGAGGAGTAAGAACCATGGATGATGGGACTTGCAGTACCATCACTCACATTCTGAGACCGCTGTTAACCTCATCCAGTGACTGATCAGGACCAAACTTGGCACATAGACCTCTCATGACCCACTTTACGTCCTGGTGTGGTTTGGCCAGGGATGGACCATGGATTATGGGACTTGCAGTACCTTTGCTCAATTCTTGAGACCACTGCAACCCTCATCCAATTACCGATAAAGACCAAACTTGGCACACTGAGTCTCCATGACCCACTCTACATCCTGGTGCGGCTTGGAGGAGGATGCACCATGGACGATGGGACTTGCAATACCTGCACTCCCTTCCTAAAACCATTATAACTGCCAACAATGATGGATCAGGACCACAATTTACACAGAGAGCCCGCATAACCCACTCTACATCCTGGTGCGGTTTGGAAGAATTTGACAATGGACGATGGGACTTGCAATACCTGCACTCCCTTCCTAAAACCATTATAACTGCCAACAATGATGGATCAGGACCACAATTTACACAGAGAGCCCGCATAACCCACTCTACATCCTGGTGCGGTTTGGAAGAATTTGACAATGGATGATGGGACTTGCAGTCACTTCACTCACTTCCTGAGACCACTGAGACCCTTGCCAATGACTGATCAAGACCAAACTTGGCACAGAGAGTCCCCATGACCCACTCTACATCCTGGTGTACTTTCGAGGAGGACAGACAATGGATGATAGGACTTCAAGTACCTCCACTCTCTTCCCAAGACTGCTGCAACCCTCATCTAATGTCCGAACAAAACCAAACTTGGCACACAGAGCCCCCATGACCCACTCTACATCCTACTGCGGTTTGGAGTAGGGCATACCATGGATGATGGGACTTGAAGTACCCCTACTCGCTTTCCGAGACTGCTGCGACCCTCAACAATGACTGAACAACACCAAACTTGGCACATAGACCTCTCATGACCCACTTTACGCCATGGTGTGGTTTGACTGTGGATCGAGCATGGATTATGGGACTTGCAGTATCTTCGCTCAATTCCTGAGACCACTGCAACCATCATCCAATTTCCAATAAGGAGAAAACTTGGCACACCGGGTCTCCATGATGCACTCTACATCCTGGTGCGGTTTGGAGGATGATGCACCATGGACGATGGGACTTGCAGTTCCTTCACTCACTTAGTGAAACTACTGAGACCCTCATCCAATGACTGATAAAGACCAAACTTGGCACACAGAACCCCCATGGCCAACTCAACATTCTGGTGAGGGTTGGGGGAGAACAGACTATGAATGATGGGACTTCAAGTACCTCCACTCCCTTCCGAAGATTGCTACAACCCTCTTCTAATGACCAATCAAGACCAAACTTGGCATACAGAACCGCCATTACCCACTTTCTCTAATAACCCGGGCAGCGCCGGGTCCCCAAGCTAGTATATAATAAAGGTGAAAGTTTGTATGTGGAGGACAAAAGTGTGGCGGTGTATGTGCTAGCTTTCTGATTGGCTGCCACTGTGGTCTCTGATTGGCCAGCCTGAAATTCCAAGATTCCGATTGGCTGGGCAGCGGTGCTATTTGCATATGGTCTCTGATTGGCCAGCTTCAAGAGGAGCCCCTGGTGGAGAAAAGAGTTCATGACAGAAACGGGGACATGAGAAGGAAATTTGCATATGGTCTCTGATTGGCCAGCCTCAATTCCAAGATTCCGAGATGAAAAAGAGAGGAAAGGAAAAGGCCAGAGGGGGCTGAGTCAGAAAATTACCAATACAGACCACACTTCGCACACAGAGCCTGCAAGACCGACTCAACATCCTACTGCAACCATGGATGATGGGACTTGCAGTACCATCACTCACATTCTGAGACCGCTATTAACCTCATCCAATGACTGATCAGGACCAAACTTGGCACATAGACCTCTCATGACCCACCTTATGTCCTGGTGTGGTTTGGCCGGGGATGGACCATGGATTATGGGACTTGCAGTACCTTTGCTCAATTCTTGAGACCACTGCAACCCTCATCCAATTACCGATAAAGACCAAACTTGGCACACTGAGTCTCCATGACACACTCTACATCCTGGTGCAGTTTGGAGGAGGATGCACCATGGACGATGGAACTTGCAATACCTGCACTCCCTTCCTAAGACCATTACAACTGCCAACAATGATGGATCAGGACCACAATTTACACAGAGAGCCCGCATGACCCACTCTACATCCTGGTGCAGTTTGGAAGAATTTGACAATGGATGATGGGACTTGCAGTCACTTCACTCACTTCCTGAGACCACTGCTGATCAAGACCAAATTTGGCACACAGAGTCCCCATGACCCACTCTACATCCTGGTGCACTTTCGAGGACAGACCATGGATGATGGGACTTCAAGTACCTCCACTCCCCAAGACTGCTGCAACCTTCACCTAATGTCCGATCAAGACCAAACTTGGCACACAGAGCCCCCATGACCCACTCTACATCCTGCTGCAGTTTTGGAGGAGGACGGACAATGGATGATGTGACTTCCAGTACCTTCACTCATATTCTGAGACCTCTGCAAACCTCATGCAATGACTGATCGAGACCAAACTTGGCACATAGACTTCTCATGACCCACTTTACGTCCTGGTGTCATTTGGAAAAAAATGGAGATGGATGATGGGACTTGCAGTAACCTCACTCACTTTCTGAGACCACTGAGACCCTCGCCAATGACTAATCAAGACCAAACTTGGCACACAGAGCCCCAATGACCCACTCTACACCCTGGTGCAGTTTGGAGGACAGACCATGGATGATGGGACTTCAAGTACCTCCACTCCCTTCCCAAGATTGCTGCAACCCTCATCTAATGACCGATCAAGACCAAACTTGGCACACACAGCCCCCATGACCCACCCTACATCCCGGTGCTGTTTGAAGGATGGACGATGGATGATGGTACTTGCAGTACGTTCACTCACTTCCTGAAACCATAGCGACACTCATTCAAAAACCAATAAAGACCAAACTTGGAACATAGAGCCCCCATGGCCAACTCAACATTCTGGTGAGGTTTGGGGGAGTACAGACTATGGATGATGGGACTTCAAGTACCTCCACTCACTTCCCAAGACCTCTGCAACACTCATCTAATGACCGATCAAGTCCAAACTTGGCACACAAAACCCCCATGAACCAACTCTCCATCCTGGAGCAGTTTGGAGGGGGATGGACCACAGATAATGGGACTCACAGTAACTTCACTAACTTCCTGAGACAACTGCGAGTCATATAAATAACTGATAAAGACTAACCTTGATACACAATTCCTTTCTCAAATAACCCGGGCAGTGCCGGGTCCCCAAGCTAGTATTTAATAAACCTCAGCACTATAAGAGGGTTTCACGAGACCAGTCACTCTCCTTGCAGTGTAGTAAAGGTGAGGCTGTGGACCATATTTTGGTTCTTGCTGAACACTGGTGGTGCACAGACCACAGGTTGGAAACCACTGCTGTATACAATGGGACTTGAGCACCCACAGTATTTTGCAATCCGAAGGGGCCCCTAGAATCAAACCTCAGCAGATTACAAGGGCAAATCTGACTCTTCTGCAGCAAATAGACCCTCCTTTCACAGTAATGCTTCCTTTTTATCCACCATGGCTGCCGATTCTGGGATTTATAGTTTGGTGAGGCAATACATTGCTCTGGCGGAGAATTCATCTACGCACTATAAAATTAGTGAAGTTTGACACTACTTTAGCATGGCTCAATGCTATGGAATAATGGGATTTGCAATTTGGTGAGGCAATAGCTCCCTTTGGCAGAGGAGGCTAAAGGACTTGTAAAACACCAACTCCTAAGATTCCACAATATTGAACAAAGCAGCTAAAGTGTTGTCAAACGGCAGTAAGTCTACTGTGGATGAGCCCTTAGAGCAGGGTCACCTCCAAGGTCACTTACCCAGCCCTCACCCTAAACTTTAGACTTAGAGTCACCCTAAGCCTAGTGGTGGCGCTATGGCACCATGAGATGCAGAGCCAACCTTATGAAATGGGGCCACAAAGTGGAGTCCACAACATGCGGATTTTGAACTATCCCTTAGCCCTATCCAGAAACTATTGCACAAACTCTTAGCCCTCTGAGTTTAGTATTTTTACTGTTCAGTCTACGGATTGCTTTTATGATGTTGTCTTGTGTTATTGTGATGTGTTTATTTCTGATATTTTGAATTTATTTTTTTTATTTTACTTTATTGCACTGTGTTTTAATCTGCGTTTTTTCGGGCTTGATCCTTTGTAAGCCGCCCCGAGTCCCTTCGGGAAGATGGATACAGGGTATAAAAATAAAGCTATTATTATTATTATTATTATTATTATTATTATTATTATTATTAACTTGACTTTCTCATCAGCCAATAGCAGGCCTACACTTCCCATTATTTTGCACTAGGATAAAGGTAATGGTTTTCCCCTGACATTAAATCCAGCTGTGTCCAACTCTGGGGGACGGTGCACATCTCCATTTCTAAGTCGAAGAGCCAGCGTTGTCCGTAGACACCTCCAAGGTCATGTGGCCAGCATGACTTCATAGAGCACTGTTACCTTCCTGCAGTGCAGTACCTATTGATCTACTCACATTTGCATGTTTTCAAACTGCTCAATTGAACTGCTGGTAAGCTGATGTTGGTTAAAACTGTTCATTTTAAAATATTGTTATCTTTTATGTTATTTTGCAGTAGGCTAAAGGTAAAAGTTTTCCCTTGACATTAAGTCCAGTCATGTCCGCTCTGGGGTGTGGTGCTCATCTCTATTTCTAAATCGAAGAGTCAATGTTGTCTGTAGACACCTCCAAGATCATGTGGCCAGCATGACTTCATGGAGCGCTGTTACCTTCCTGCAGAGTAGTACCTATTGATTTACTCACATTTGCATGCTTTTGAACTGCTAGGTTGGCAGAAGCTGGGGCTAACAGCGGGAGCTCACACCACTCTGAATTCGCACCTGCAATCTTTCGGTCAGCAAGTTCTGCAGCTCAGCGCTTTAACCCCCTGCGCCACTGGGGGCTCCTATTTTGCACTACAAATAAGATATTTGCAATGTGCACTGGAATTCGTTCATGTTTTTGAATTACTCCAAAATGCATCGAGTGGCTGAGATAGTGATACCTTCGCTTTCAGTGGGTGCAAAGTTAGTTTCATGGACAAAATCATTAACAAATAGTGTGCATAAAATTACCTCCAGAGAATGTGAATAAGTTATATGTGAAATATTAATTTTGTGTTTAGAATTGGGTCCAATTTCCAAGATTGCGCACCTTTATGCAAATACAGGTATTCCAAAATCTGGAGGAAGAAAAGCTTAAATCCCAGCCCAAAATATTGAGGTGAAAGGGACACTCCACCTGCCCTGTGAAAGAGAACCCAAAAGCTCAAAACACCATTGGAAGTCCTGCCCTCTTCCTGATGCCCAAGGGTGAATCTACACCGCAGTATTAACGCAGTTTGACACTGATTCAATGCTATGGAATCCTGGGAGTGGTAGCTTCACAAGCTCTTCAGTCTCCTCTGCCAAAGAGAGATGGTGCCTCACCAAACTACCAATCCCAGGATCCCATAGCACTGAGGCAGGGCAGTTAAAGTGGGATCAAACTGCACTCATTCTGCAGTGTAGACGCGCTTCATCCCTCTCTCTGGCCTTTTCCCAGGAATGGCTTCCCGCCTCCCTTGCTTCTGGCACTGACCTCACTCCAGGCAGCGGAAACGAGCCCGGACTCCCCCGCCTGCCCCTCCCCTCCGCGAGGGAAACCGGAAGAAGGGCAGCCCCGGCTCCGCGGCGGCGACGGAAGAAGGAAGCGCTTCTGGTTTCCTTAAGCAGATCAGAATTATTATCGGTCTCTCTCTGACGTCATTGCCTCCCGCGCATGCTCCGTCTCCGGGGTAAAAAAATAGCAGGTGCTTTGTCAACGCTGTGGTTGTCAGCCTTTGGACTCCAATTCCCAGAATTCCTGAGAGTTAGCCAGTCAAACTGGGGCTTCTGGGAGTTGAAGTCCCAAGAACCTGGTTGGAAACCTCTGCTAGTGCAAAGCGATTTGTGGTCTTGCATTTATCCGGGAGGAAGGCTGCATCTATTCTGTAGATGCACTTTGATACCACTTTAACTTCCATGGCTCAATGCTTTGGGATTCTGGGAGTTGTAGTTTTACAAGGCTACTGCTACTACTAATAATAATGATAATAAGTTTCATTTGTTACCTGTCTCTCATGGCTCCAAGTGGGGCGTAAACATAGTTGAAATATATAAACAGAACAAAGGATGATAAAAATATGTATATTAAAAAGAACAGAGATTAAAACACCAATGCTAATAAAATGTACGGTCTCTTGGTGGCACAGTAGGTTAAACCACTGAGGTGCTGAACTTGCTGACCGAAAAATTGGTGGTTCAAATCTGGGGAGTGGGGTGAGCTCCCACTGTTAGCCACAGCTTCTGCCAACCTAGCAGTTCAAAAACATGCAAATGTGAATAGATCAATAGGTACCGTCTTGGCGGGAAGGTAATAGCGCTCCATGCAGTCATGCCGGCCACATGACCTTGGAGGTGTCAACGGACCATGCTGGTTCTTCGGCTTTGAAATGGAGATGAGCATCAACCCCCAGAGTCAGACACAACTAGACTTAATATCAAGGGGAAACCTTTACCTTTCCTTTACTAATAATACAGGGTGAGGCAGCATAACTTCCATTTTTAAAATGCACGCCATTCAGTCGGTTGAAGACGTAGCAGAGTGCTAGTGGTCTCGTTTGAGAGGTGGGAGTATAAAGTTTTGTCGTGACACAGTTCAGTCGTCATCATGCGTTGGAACAGTGAAACAGTAGAACTTTTGCTGTTGAGGCCTACTTTTCGAGCGGATTTGGAGTGGCCGGCCCGCTCTCCAGATTTGGCCCCTTGTGATTTTTTTCTATGGGGTTTTTTGAAATCCCGTGTTTATGTGACCTGTCCATGGACCCTACAAGATTTGAAGACCAACATCCAGGAAGAAATTGCCAACATAATGCCTGCTATGCTGGCAAGAGTCACGACAAAGGCCAGAAATCAGTTTACTCAGTGTACGGAGAATGGGGGACGTCACCAACCTACTTATACCTGTTCCTTATTATTCTAATTCTATACCATCAAGAATCAAACTGCACCTTCATACCTTGTTTTGATTCACCTTGATTGTTCAGTAAACCTAATTGGTTCAATTTAGTCTTGTCTCTAGAGTTTTATTTTGGGGAAATTAAAGTAAATACAGGGCATACCGATGGTCACTGGGAAAATAGCCGGACACATATAGTTTTCTCATCAAACCGTCCCGGTGTGCCATCATACTACGTAAAACAAAACTTTAGGTATGTGCCTACATTATAATTTTTTTCTGATTCATACAATTAGTTTTATTAAGTTTTGAAAAAAGGAAGTTATGCTGCTTCACCCTGTAAAATGTAAATTTAAAATCAATAGTTTATTTCTTTTTCTTTTGGTCCGTCATGAAAAAAGGTCTCCCTGTTATTTGACTTTCACATTGACGTTTGAGTTTCCTGTCCTTTCGACCTGCAAAAAGGCATTCTCATCCTGGGAGAAAGGGGGGGAATATAAATCCAACAAATAAATTAAAGTACTGTTGTTCTCATTTGAATCTCTCACACAGACCCTTCCCCCCATAATAAACCATATCTAACATTCCCAATGAATGGGAGTAAAAAAATATCTAATATTTAAAAAGGTCTTCATCTGCCATAAAGACAACAAGATCATTCCTATTGTACTTTGTTGTGCTTCCGTAGTTTGGTTTCAGTTTCAAACACTTAAGAGCAGAGCTTTCCAAACTTTTCATGCTAATGACACACTTTTTAGACAGTCACAATTTTGCAACACAGTAAACTAAGATTTACTAGCAAACCGGAGATTAAATCAACCCCTTATAAGAGATTCGGACACATACATAAATGGTAACAATGAAATATATGGGGACACAACATATCTTGTGCAAAATATTCATTGATATTCATAAAAAGATGATTTATTGCTGATTTTACATAGACTTGTTACTTTTACCTGACACACCTACAAGCTGCAGTCAACACAATGAACATCTCGTGACATGCAGTTTGGAAAGCTCAGACTTAGAGGGTTTCTACACCTTAGAGTTATAGCAGTTTGATCTCAGGTTAATTGATATAACAACCCTGACGATCAATGGGGTGGCATCCTATGGCATACTGAGGCCATTTTTACATTGCCATATAATCCAGATCATCAAAGCAGAAAATCCACATTATCTTCTTTTAGCTGGATTATATGAGTCTACATTGCCATATAATCCAGTTCAAAGCACAAAATCTTGATTTTATATGGCAGTGTAGAAGGGGCCTGAGATTTGCAGGTTGATGATATACAGGCCAATCCTCATAACTGTGGGACTCGTATCTACAGTTTTATTTATCTTGATTTCACCAAGGCCTTCAACAGGTTTCCCCTCGTTATTCTAGCAAAGAAGCTGGTAAAATGTGGGCTAGACAACATCTTTATCAATTACCTGGTTGATGGAATAGAGAGATGTCTTTCAAATTTGCAGATGACACCACATTAGAAGGGACTTTTGTCACATATGTCTCTGAAATATGGGCTCTTCCACACAGCCCAATATCCCAGAATATCAAGGCAGAAAATCCCACTTTAACTTAGTGTGGACTTGAATAACCCAGCTCAAAGCAGATACTGTGGGATTTTCTGCCTTGATATTCTGGGATGAGGGGCTGTGTGGAAGTCCCATAGTCATTGTGTTACTTTTGCCCTTTCTTTTTGGCATTACTCACCACAGCATCATGTCATCGTGCTGCATAGACCAGGAGGGCACCTGTTTCCCAGGTATTTTATGGTCAAAGGGTCTGATATCTCATATTGCAGCACAACTCTACTGCTCCTCATGCATGACATTTTAAAACTATGAGATGGAAGCTTTAAAAAAAATCCCCTGAGGTGATGTAACAACCCTTTAAAAAGCAGTAGGAATATCTACAATTTTCAATTCATATTTTTGCAAAACTGAAAAAGCAATAATGTTGAAATAAACTATCCTCAAAAGTGCTACTTTTTATGCAAAAGCAAAGGCTTTCAGAAAAGGATATTTCCAGGTTTTTTTTTAAAGTCACATCCCTTTTAAACACTAATGTTTAGTGCAGGAATATGGCTATTACAACCTTCTTAACTCTGCCTAAAATAAAAACTTTCCCCACCCATCTGTAACAATGAAGTCATTTTAGTTACTGTATATGCAGCCATTTAAAGAGACTTGTGAGTGCCGGAGACTGTCCTTTATTGCCCTTAGAACCATTAACTGCCAATTTGTTGCTGGAAATAAATGTGTGTCAACAAGTTCAGTTTCAGTTGACAGCAGTTCGTCAGCTTCTGGACTCAGAGTTTGTTTCCTTCCAGAGTGATAAAAACCATTGTCAAGGTTAATCCTTTGTCAGCCCTGCTGCAGCAAGGGCAATGCCTGGGAGCATAAATTATGAACTTCCTCCTTTGGGTCGCATTTGACAAAAGGGCTTGGAAATGGTTCCAGTTAGACCCACCTGGGATGCCACAGTGGCATGGCAGAACAAATGTGAAAGGCATGACAGGACTTTCTACCCAAGGCGATTCTCCTTTTCCTTTCTGCGAACTTGTCATTCACTGACAGCCAAATACCTTGCAGATATGTATCAATCCATCAATTACCACTGTCCTAGCTTTATATGTCATCAACAGTATTCATGGCTAACATACAACTAAGGCTCTATATCAGGCATGGGCAAACTTTGGACCTCCAGGTGTTTTGGACTTCAGTTCCCACAATTCCTAACAGCCTACCAGTTGAAGTCCAAAACATGGAGGGCCAAAGTTTGCCCATGGCTGCTCTATATTGAGTTATATAGATTGTCCTTAATCAAGTCCAGTTGCCCTGCCACATTTTCAGTTTTTATTTTTGAGGATTTCTGGATGCTATCATAAAGGCTCCTCCCACAGAGATGTATAAAATCCACATCGAGCTGGATTATATAGCAGTGTGGACTCAGATAACCCTGCCTTGATATTCTGGGGGCCCTTCCACACAACCCTATATCCCAGAATATCAAGGCAGAAAATCCCACAATATCTGCTTTGAACTGGGTTATATTAGGGCCCGTCCAGATAGGATCTTTATTGTGGTATCTACCGCAATAAAGGAGGAGCTGTCCAGACAATGTTCTGGACAGTCCAGAATTAATTCGCTACAATCCAGACACCATTCCCACAATTTACTGGGCTAAATAAACCTGGTAAACTGTGGCAATACCCACCCCTCTCCCCAAACCCCCAGACCCTTTTGAAAAGTTAAAAAACTTACCTGTCCTGCAATATACCCTCAGAGAAGCTCTCCCGGTGTGTACAAATGATGCGCCGGGGGGGGGGGGAGGAGGGAAAATCGCTCCCCACTCTCCTGGCACATCATTTGTACGTGCCGGGAGAGCTATTCCGAGGGTATATTGCAGGACGGGTAAGTTTTTCTTACCTTTCAAAGGAGCCTGGGGGCTTGGGGGGAGGTGGGTAGGTCCATGCAGGAGTTTACTAGTCAAATGCCTCCAGACATTCTCCTGGGCTAATCCTGAGAGAACATCTAGATACCCACCCCAGCACGTGCTTAATGGGGTAGGTGTGGACAGGCCCCCAGGAACATCCTCGTTTTTTAAATGCGGATTCTGCTGGGATAAAGGCCTGTCTGGATCCAGCCTGAATCCACACTCAGATAATGTGGGGTTTTTTTGCCTTGATATTCTGGGATATAGGGCTGTGTGGAAGGACCCA